AAACTAACCATAAAACACAAAGTTGACTAAAGTACTGCTGCTAAGGCACATATTTGGGTCTATGATACCAATTCATTATACATACAGTACAGGACTAGATATGAGATTCAAGTTGCAGCAAATACATATTTCTGACTAGTGGAAGGTATTTAATAAACATGGTACAGTACTTGTATGTGAAAAAAAAAGCGGACACATCACAAGAAAACATTCTTTATAAATAATGAGTCAACTACTGGACAGTACTGAACTCAACATACCCTACTGGATCCAACACCAGACCTATTGATACAATAGACCCTAACTCATTACTGATAACTGAAAACCTGGCATTCAGCTTCGACTTATGAAAACATGATGACTCAAGGAGCACAAGGTCTTCATTAAGGTCTTTTTATGTAATAAGTAGTGTACAACAATCTCTATTTCAAGTGCAGAATTAAAACACAGACAGTCTAAAGCTACACTTGGGTTACATTTGTTCACAAATTTTATGTATTTCTCCACATATCTCAGTACCTGCAATACATTTATGCCATACTTAAAATGGTAATTCTTTAGGACAATATCATAACCATTTTCCATAATGGTACAGTACCATGAATTCTTTTTAAAAAAGGCAAAAATAACCTACCAAATCTAACTTAACCTACCTGAACTAACATAACCTAACAAAATTATAAGATTGTTAGGATATGTTAGGTAGTTTGTTTGGTTACATCCGACCGGTCGATTTTCTTGCCAAAAAATTCATATAATTTAAAAAAAAATTAAATCTGTAAAATCCAAGTTTAATACCATTACAGGTTAAGCTCAGTGAGGAAATTTTTTCTCTGTAGTGTTTATACAAAACTGCCAGGTAATGAAGAAAAACTAATCATGATGCTGTCCTACATAATTACCCTTATAACTAACAATATGTAAGACTAAAATTATCAGTGACTAGATACTACAATACAGTACAGTACAATATTGCTTTGTGTTATATTTGTAAGTTATCAAGAATTCTGACCCTCATGAAGAATGACTGTCTGTCAATTGAAACTATTCAGTGTCCAATTACTTGGACTGTGACATTCACAAAATATAAATACAGTAATTAAAATATTGAAACAAATTAAAATTTTGCACAATGCTTAAAACTATCATAAAAAATCTACAGTATATATTATTTCGTTCCCTTCACTACTGCATTTACAGGGGCTCATCAGGTTTTGTGCAGTGTGGCAGTCCTGCGTTTGTTTACATTCGACAAAAGGAAACTCACAATACTAAACATACCGTACTGTGGAATCCAAGTAAAACAATATTAAAACAAATATCTCAAAGATAATGATTTGTCGAATGTTTATATGACAAGCCCCTGTAAATGCACTAGTGTAGTGGACTACTTATTTCAAGACATGGCTCCCTGCAACTCTTGGCTGTTTTCTAAAATTAAGATGCCGCTGAGGGGTTCGAGATTTGAGGACACAAATGAGATAAAGAAAAATGCGACAAAGATCATGTTGGCGATCCCAAAAACTGACTTTACAAAATGTTTCCAGCAATGGAACGACCGCTGGGCTAAGTGAGTTGAGTCCCAAGGGGCCTACTTTGAAGGGGATTAAAGTCTGAACTCAGTAAGTAAGCTTGTTTTTTTTTTCACCTGCTAAAGGTCGGGTATTTTTCGATCAGACCTCGTATATTGCATGAAGCAATATTCCAAATACTGACTAAGTACAATATTCCTTACATCTTCCACCTTTCAATAATTGGATGGTGTCTTCCTGGCATAGTGAGGGACTTTGATAAGTGGCAGTGTTTTATCTCTTGCATAGATCACCATGGAATATTTGTATACTGTATAATGAACTCCAACACATTATGGAGATTCTAAAATACAGTAGTGCCCTACAAACTATACTGTCCTAGAGCCACTCTTTGACTCTTTAAAATCTAGTTTAAAAGCTTGATGTCTAAATACACCAGCATGTGTGGTCTAGATATACAGTATTGATAACAGCAAAGCAAAATATATGATTCACTTTTCAAAGACAAGTGGGCCACTTTTAGAGAGCAGCTCTGATATTAATAATGACAAAGTTACTTTCTACGCATATAATCATGGGAATTTTACAATTGGAAATTAAACATGCACAGTTTATAATTCATTTCTACTAGAGTACTGTTTAACACTAGCACAGACTAACAAATACAAGAAGCACTAGTTACTTAATAAGGACTATACAACCCTTGGAAAGATTTGTTTTCCCAGGTTGTTTAAGAGGCATATACAGTACTGTACTAATTAAATGGAAGCATTAGTTATTAATAATCAGTGCCATACTATCATTATGCCATCTTTGCTGGAATAATATATTTATGCTAAGTGAAGAATGACACATGTCTCAGTATTAACAACAATATGAATGTTTATACTGTACAGCAGATACAAAAATCATTGCCATAATAGGAGTAAGACCTGGTCATAAACAGTCAAAGTACTGACGGATAAGAAAGTTCTCTCAGTTAGTAAGTCAGTCGGTCTAGTTTGGTATTTATAAAAGCAACAGGATTAGCTAAAAAAAATAACATTGACACAATATTATGGAGTCACCAAGATGAATGTTTTCCTTGCATATAAGCAGACACCTGTGCATACTAAGATTGTCATTCAAGTATTTCCAGAAGCTAGATCACTGCTTACCATCTGTGCATCAATACCCTAACTAACTGGAAGGTGTGGCACATATGAATAAGCTTACCCTAGCCGAGGCAGATTACTAATTACCAAACAATAACCAGGAGATGGATGTTGTTGGTTCAAACTAAATTTAGCTGGTGATTAAAAATGCACAAAAATCTATGCATGATTAACCTCACAAGAGGTGAAGGAAGATTTTTTGTTTATGTACAGTACTGTATCCTTTTACATCAAATGTGCCAAAAGGCATTTTTGACCTCTGACACTTTTTTCCAGTGAGGATACATATTCACAAGTTTTACCAAAATATTTGCAGCGGTACAGGAGTTAGGCACCAACTATGAAAAAGTTGCTAGACAATTTAATGACAAATCCAAGCCATAATTTGCCTTTTTTTCCAAAATGGGTGTATGGAAATGTAGGCAAGACTTGTGAATAAAGTAATATAATTTTGACAGTGATAGTTCTGTGCACTATAACATGCTCAACTAAAACCCCATTAGAATGGATAAAAATCAAAGTATAAATTGGTTTGCACCAGTTGGTAACATCAAATAGATAAACTATACGGTGAGTTTTAACAATATCCGGCTTACTGGCTTCTGTTGCATTACAACCAGACATGCAAAAACAATAAGTACTGTATAGTTGTGGTACACATTACTGCTGCTCTTTAGGGGTCCATACAAGTCAAAACACCTGCTGTGTCATTCATGCAAACATTCCCAACAACACACAACTGCTACACAAGTGCTGCATAGAAAACTGAAAACAGTTGCTAAAGCTTTCTTTATGTTTAATATAACAATTAAGTAAAACACATTAAGTTTTCCCTAATGGAACAAAAAAATAGATTTTGAGATTCTAAGTTCTTTTTTCACTTTGAAATATCTCTGATCCAAGGTGCCATAGCAACATGAAAATTAAATAATCAAGATTGTTTTTTTTAAGAAAAAGAAATACGGTATTTATCACATTTCATACTAAAGTACTGTAGGGTACATGAAAATATTTGTTCTTTTACTTTCTAATGCAGAAGTGTACTACTTAAACACTGATATTGCAGCACTAAAATTTATGTTTTTTGGGGGGGAGAGACACTCTACAGTTCACTCGAACTCCCCCCCCCCTCCCACACACACTTTTATACACTACTGTACTACTGTCAAAAGCTCTACTCTTATCTATCTCACTCTAATTTCACCTTTCTTTGTGCAACTAAGAAATTATCAATCTCTTTACTTGATACTGTGAACATACCTACATATATCACAAAACAAATATTTTTAAGTAATCATTTTATGGGACGAATAAAAAGAAGAATTAGAAAGACAAGACTGACACAGCTGGTGTGGATGAATTATAAAGAAACCTTAAAAACAAATATAATACATACCATATCTGTATTTTTATTCTTTGTGTAAACAGAAGGAACCTAATTCATGAATGATTGTCATGCCAATATACAGAATAGGTACACTATAATGCTTCCATCCTTAGGGGCATGTAGATTGTCAATAACAAATGGCGAAGGCAAATTGCGACTGAAGCCTTGAATAGCAAACATAATATTTTGCTGTGGTAATGTGAATATCAAATCCTATTCCAAGACTTAAAGACAAGTAGGCCCCCTTGAAGCATGGATGACCCCTTTGCTTAGTGTAAAAATATCCATAAATAAAGAAAATTATGAGGTTATTCTACATGCACAGTATATGCAACACAGAGCACATTTATGGGCTATAGAAAATTTTAAAATATTATGCTTCCTAAGATTGCTTGTCTTTGTTTGGGAAGTACTGCATGGATGCTTAAGTGGAGTTAATTGGTTGTTTGAAGGATACAAACAACATACACTAAAACAATAATCCATGGGTCCTGTGACAGCTGAGGGGTAAAAACTGGCACTGTCCACCATGAATAAACCACTTGTGATGACATTAACCCCAGCCTTCTTCACTCAAATGGTACTGGGCTCCCTGACCACTACAGAATGATACACCAAACTTATGGAGGACCAGCCACCAAAAATGCTATAAGCTTACAGTAGTATGGTCTAGTTGTGCAGGAAATGATGTCACAAAGGGCCATTCAGCAATGAGATAAAAATGCATCAATTAAGTTAAGACCAACACTGAGGATGAAATATGCAAGCCAGCAGGTAAGATGAGACTGCTGTGGAAAATTTAGCTAATTATTTCAAAGGTTTATAACAGCTGCCAAATAATAATAATAATAATAATAATAATAATAATAATAATAATAATAATAATAATAATAATAATAATAATAATAATAATAATAATAGCCCTGTAATAATAATAATAATAATAATAATAATAATAATAATAATAATAATAATAATAGCCCTGTAATAATAAAAAGGCTAAATGGAAGTTTGTATGAAGTGAATGAAACCTTACAGGAAAGTACATTATCAGGGTGATTCCGATCAGTGGCTTATGGTGGTGTTACAGCAGTAAGAATGAATGGATGATAATATGGTTAAAAAATAAATCTGTGTTTACACTTTGTTCCTGCAGTCTGCAATATAGCAGAAAGAGGCCGCAAGACTCCAAAGAAGTAACAAATAAAATAAAAATGGAAAAAGCCAGGCAGCATCAAATACTAGAGTCAATGATAGTACAGAAGGCCAAGATGGATGGAACATATTCTGGTGAACAGGAGTGTGCCAGAATCACAATGAAAAGGATAAAACAAAAATACAGTAAAACATGAGCTACTAGACTGCATAACTAATGAGAGAATTCAGTTCCCACGGTGAGAGATGGATGACAAGGCATAATTTGTCCAACACAATTTGTTCATAAATACCAGAAGCTTCATGCCACCACCAAAGAAATAAGAACCCATAATTCTGTACTGCATTACAGTATTAACCAAAGATGCAGTTCCTGACTGTAAAGAAAAGTACACAATGTACCTCCATAAAAATCTGAAACCTGAAAGACAAATACATATATGAAATAATGGAGCCTAAAACTGATAAGTAATACTGATTGATAGCACTAAACCACATTAACTGAAAATGGATAATGTAAGAAAACTATTTATTCTAGTAAAAATCAAAATACAATTTTGATGTCAGTATTTATAAAATGTTTTACCATTCAACCTTTCTACAGTACCACAACATATTACCATAAATCTACTGTGCATTATGCATGTTTGTGCTATTGATATATTATATATCACTCAAGATTTAAAAATACTGTAAGACATATCCGATATTTTTACAATTACCTGTGAATATAACTTACCTTGACTCCATATCCACCACATTAATTGTAAACCATTATACATCACTGTTTACTATTAATTCCTAAACTTTAATTTCACTTATGATTGAATAGATTTCTTTGTCACTTTTTTGTGCATTCTTTTCATATAATCCCCCATAGCACCGACATCTTGACTACTTCTCCTACTACCAGATAAACTGCCTGGGGCACTATCATGAAATGACAAGACACTTCTAAGGAGTGGCTTTTGTTGGGTTATTTCTTCATATGAAGGAGGAGTGTCACAATGAGAGTCAGGAGTTTGCTCATCCCTTTGATTAATTTGGGCCATTAATTTCATGAGGTCTTTCTCAAGAGTAATAAGCGCTCTATTTCCTCCATCATCTTGGTCTTCCACATAGTTATCAACATTACTTTCATCATCATATTGATCTTCTTGAGAATATTTCTCATCACTCATATAAACAGAAGTCACTATACTTCTGGTTGATCTAGGCGACCTTGGGTATACACCGTGGAGCAACGCTTCTTCTTGATTATGTGCAGGTGATGCACTGAGGCCTTCTTTAGTGACACTGTGGAGTGGGAAATTTGCTTTTACTGTGCGTAAAAAAGATTCTCCTTCTCTTCTTGATGGAAAGCAAAGGGATTCACCTTTACTGCTTCCTTGTCCACCATCTTTTGACAGGTCACCACGGCTCTGACTTCTGCTTCTATACAGTGGAGTGGCTGTACCTGAAAGCGGTCTACGTTTCATTCTTTCCAAGGTGCGTGGACGAGAGAGAGGAGGACGGAGTTTGTTGGAGCCTCTATCACTTGTGGCATGTTCCTGGACTTCACTTTGTCGTGGAACAGACGATGCTCTACTTACTGGAGCAGATTTCAGACGATATATGGAGGCCTTCTGACTTGAAACAGTACTGAAAGCATTTTTAAATTAAGTAAGGCATTTTTAACCAGCACTGAAGGCCATATGACTAAATAGCAATGAAATACTGAAATAGTGTTAATATTACTACCTACAGGATCTGCACCAGCAAGAATGACTTTGAAACAACTGAAGAATATACAACTGAGAGAAGCTGTTTGTAAGTGATATGTGCAGCACCATTCAAGTGGTGTTGGTGTTTATGATGAGCTTCAGTCTACTGCCAAAATACTCACAAAACCTTCATGTACTGTATTCCTAGTTTTGTTGCCAGCAGTGGGTAGCTATGGCATTTACAGAAAAAGCACAGCATTGTAAAGAAAAAAATCTATAGTGAGGCTGTAGGCATAATTTTAATGTATGGAGCCATTCAGAGAAAACTAAACAATGTAATGAATGAAACAGAACTGTGCTTAGCCCAGGTGTATAATGCTGCCAAAATTGGGAAATACTGGAGGTCTTTGCCAGAAAACACTCAGACTGTGAAGATTGATGAGACAACTACAGTGACCCCTCGGTTAACGAACTCAATCCGTTCCAGAAGGTCGTTCGTTAACCGAAAAGTTCGTTAACCGAAACCATTGTTTCAATGGGTTTTTGGGTAATTGGTTCCAGCTCACCGAAAATTTCCTAAATTCAACAAAAATGGTAGAAAAGTTCACTTACTTTGAGGTGTGTATGTAGAAGGCTGGATGATGATGATGATGATGATGATGATGATGGATTTAGAATGGGGGTGGAGGAGAAGGAAGAAGAGAAGGCATTCGGTGGAAGAGAAGTCACCCCATGGCGCCATTTCACCCATAAAATTTTAGCTCTCTTGGTGTAATTCAAGATTATTTTCTTTAAATCAACACTGCACTGCATTATATATTGTCAATACGTAAAATATATTTCAAAATGACCAATAATTTGCTTGGAAACACAGAAAAAAGCGTTTAGTTGAAGAGAGTCTCAAGCAAGATGTTACCTCCAGTGAAAACAGAGAGAGACTAACGCCTGTTTGCTGTGTTAAGAGGCTGGATGCCACGCATTAAACTAGTCACTTTACCTTCAATTATGTTCAATAATTGTTAAAATGACTAAAAAATTGAAAATTAAACTTTTAAAATTATTAAATAGTATAAACTTCTTGATATTTACTAAAATAGTAAGGAATTTAAGCCCTAGAACCGATTAATGTATTGGCGGACTGATACTAAAGCTGGTTGCCTGGTCAGTGCAAGCGAAAACATGTTGAGGTCGGTTCGTAAGAAATTCGTTAACCGAATTTTTGTTCGTTAACCGAATTGAAGATCCTTATGGAAGGCAGTTCGTTAACCGAAATTTCGTTAACCGAGGCGTTCGTTAAACGAGGGGTCACTGTATAGGCAGAAAGAAGAGAAAGAAAGGCTGGTATTCTCTGTTCACTGTGCAAATGTTGATGACTGCCTTTGACTAAAGTCAGTAATATGGGAAAAGAAAATAATTTATTAAGCTTCATTTAAAAATTTTCATTAAGTCTCATTTTAAGAGGTTTATTATTCTTTACTACTTGTGTAATGTTTTTTTTTTTTTCAGATAGTCTGGAATTTTAGGTAACTCAGACTACCCCCTTCCACATTTAGTCTGGTCTAGAAAGGTTTAACAGTACAGTACTCTATATACATGGTAATAATGGATAATAGATGACAAGAAGCATTTTCATTATCTGGAGGTGGATGTGTTAGTGAGTGGAACAATTAAGTTTGAATTGAATTACAGAGTAGAGGAAGGAAAAACACAACAGATTACAGTAAATACATTTTTTTTAGAGATATAAAATCATGTCAAAAGAGGCAAAAAATGGGGATGTACTGTAGAGTATTGGAGAATCACAAAGTTAATATTATGACTGTATAAGGTAGTAAAGCCTGGAATTCTGGATGCAGGAGGAAGGAACTTTGGCTTAAAAATATGTCTGATCGCAATATGGGGGTGATCAGGATGCAGAGAGTAATAAGTACAATAAGAAAAACAAGTTGAGGAAAAGAGAAAAGAAGGGGGTGAGGAGGAGACAAACACCTGACCAATGTCTGCTAAGGTAGTACAGACATAATGATAGAATGGGAAGGGAAATATTGGCAAGAAGACTGAATAATTCAAATAGATTGTAGGAGGCAGAGAAGAAGACCAAGGAGATGGAAACAATAGGTAATGGACCCACTAGAAGTGAGACGGATAGAAGCAGTAGAATATGTGAATGAGAGGAGAGCTTGGTGGTGCATAGCTTTGGGGATTTTACATCATATAAATGAATGGATGACAACAGGTAAACAGAAAGGCTAACTTTGCTCTCAATTCCAGTCACCTTACAGTACAGAGAGAGAGTGTCTATAAGACCAGTAAGTGTGTAAAACATTGTTAAAACATTAAAGAATTATCTAACCCTTACTCCACCTTCACAGCAACTTACCATTATTCAAAGTCTTCTGGAAGATCCTTGTCCCTTTTTAGAATCACTAAAACAAAGGAGAAAACGAACAAGGCTTTTATTAGTATACGGATCATAATACTGCACTTGCAGGATCACTGGAGTATTGTTAGTATCTCAAACCAAGTACTGTACTGTGCAAATCTTGTACTTCAGTGTGCTGTTATTACTGTACCTACCATCCTTACTATTATTAATATAACTCAAATGTGTTACATGCTCAATCAAAACCAATACAATATTCAAAGGAGCTACACATTAAGGACAATATTTTTGGCAAAATGAGTTACATGCACAACCAAATCTAAATTAGTCCAGAAACTTTTCCCAAATACTTAGGACTTACTGTTGCTGTTTTGGGAGTCTTGTGGGGCCCAAAACAACAGGTGAACCCTGGACAAAAGTGACATTGCCTCGTGGAGAAGTAATGTTTGGCATTGCCACAATGCGCTGAGGGGAATCAAATACCTCACCAATACTCCCACTAGATAAGCTGCAACCACTCTCCTGAAAAATTATATATGTATAGTCTTTGATATATATAACTAAACAATTACATAGTACATAGATAATGTATAAGAAAATAAATGTAATGTTTAAAATTACTATTAGAATTACTTTTATGTAAATTCTGAGGTACAGTAAATTCCTCCCAAAGACAAATTTTAGAAATGAATTTGCTTGGATAAAGTCAAGATGTTCTCACTAAAAGTTATGAGAAGACATGGTCCTCTTATGTAATTGGTTGGTTCACCATGAAAAATTTAGTAAAACTGCATGGGTTGATTTTCATTGGGTTGGGTACTGAAATGTATGGCTTTTGTGGTAACATGTCCCTTATTTGTGTAATGTTTATTTAATATGTTTTTAGCTTTTAAATTAAAAAAGTCTGCTTCAGCGAGTCAGATAAGGGACCTTTAATCCCATAGAACATTTGAAAAGGCTAAGAGAACGACAAAATTGACCTACAAAAAGTAAATGCATATACCCAAGAATTTACTGTAATTATAAAAGTATATGCTTGACTCATGTAGTGCAACACTTACATTACCACTTGTTGCCATATCATTACACATGTCATTCAACGTTGATGGCAGATCCTGGAGAAACTGTCGCCTCAGCAGCTCCACCTTCTCTGCCTCAAATGTTGCTTTCTGGTGGAGATAAAATGCTGAACAATTCTACGTAAAGAGCAACAGAAAAGCTTCATATACCACATGTCTAGATGGTATATACAGTATACTGTACTATGGACAAAAGTAACATAAATGAATGGAACACTCTAAATATACACAAAAATGAATGAATCTAAAGTTTTAAACGTCTTGCAAGTAATATGCAAAATGATCCCAGACACCTGTCTGGATATTTGAGAAAAACATGTAGAAAGTTATTATATACAGGAATTGGTTGGCCATAATGTACACTGTATCTCTGTTTACACACTTGACAAGTTCCAAGTATCTATTTGGAAAGAGGAGAAAAGGTAAAAGGACAAGCTGGCTGCCTGTACTCTGAACACAAAATTTTTCCAACAGTTTAGTCATTTTCAAAACGTGTCTCAATATCATATACATTTACAAAATTTTGGCAGAGGAAAGCGTGGGTGATTTACTTCATTATAAATGGGACTGATCCAAATGGAAGAATACCTGTACATATTATCTTTGTGTGAGATGTGTGCAACTAGCATGAAAACTGTGATGATATACTGTGTGTCAGTGAAAAATGGGTAGTTAAAGAGGATGACATACACAGGTTAAGTGAGCTGAAATGGGAATGGCAAGGGTCGATGTAAAATGTGACACTGAAACCACAGGTGAAGTTTTGCATACAGGAAGTATGCAGAGATGGTTTGGGCATGAAAAGAGAATGGAGAAGACCAATTGGGTCAAGAAATACATGAGTCTGAATGTGGAGGAGAGGAGAGCCAGGAGTAGGACAAGAATAACATGGGAAGAAGTTATAAGAAATTACTTCGATGTTAAGAACCTGACAAGAGAGGCTGCAAGAGACTGCACAGCATGGAGAATTGCTGTCAAGAGAGGCTGCAAGAGACTGCACAGCATGGAGAATTGCTGTCAAGTAATCATTGCTAACCCAAGTAAACATTGAAAATGGCCATAAAATGATGATGGTGAGATGATACTTTATGATTCAAAACACTACTGAGACTACTACTACTCACTTCTCTGTTGAGTCTGATAGCTGCTTCTGTGAATGACTGTCTTTCTTCCCGTAGTAATATTTTTTCTTTCATCAAATCTTCCTTCTCTTTCTCTAAAGTTGCTCTCTCCTCCACACACTCGCCATCCTTGATGAATGTCAGGTCCTTTTCTTTAATGTCACCTTCGTCACCTGAGATCATTGCAGAAAGATAAATCAGAGCAAAATATATGTCATTTTTCTCTCTAGTTTTCTCTGTCACTATCTGTCTCTCTTTCTAACTCTTACTTTCTCTCTTTGTAACTCCCACTCTCTCTCTAGCTTTCTCTTTGTAATTCACTTTCTCTCACTCTCTCACCATACCTTTGTGGACTAAGATGTGGAAGTAGTTCAGCTCATCTTTGCTTTTTGCTAACTGTTTTTGCAACTTATTAATTTCTTGATTCAGTTCCTCTTTGACATCTTCATCTGCTTTTTTGCCTACAAAGAAAAAATTGCAGATTAGACCTTATTTCCAATTTTCATCCAGCCACTACTAAATAAGGTGACCAAAGTTTACCAAACCTCACCACTATGATACCCAAAAACAATACATCCTAGATATGAAGCAATATGGTTGAAGTGTTTCTGAGACACTATTTCAAGAACTAGCATATTTCTAAATGATCATAAAGTGCCGACATCGCCTTCAAACAATACAACAAACCAAATGCTGACATGACAAATGCAAGTTAAAGTGGATACAAGTTGGTCTGTTTTGGTGAAATACTGTATAGAAACCAATAGTTCCAAGAGTAGTTGCCAGGGTTAACATTACCCTAAGACAGTAAATTTAACAGCAACATGACAAGACATCAAGACATATTTTAAAGTTTCTACTGAGGAGCTGTTGAGAAATTACCTGAGTGTACAGGTCCAGTACTTCCATAAACAGTCTCAAATTAGGAATAAAAAACAATAGTGGGACAATAAATAACTAGAAACTGAAACTGCCATTTTTTGTGGGTATTGGTACACTCACTTTTCTCTTCACATATCTGTACAACAGTCTTGAGGTGGAGATCAAAAGTTTGCTGAAGTTGATCACGGAAAGCTGGGAACTCGAGATTAAACACTGGCTCATCCAGACTATCTGCACTTAACATGGACGATGTCGTGGAAGCGTTCATATCTCCTTCTGTTGGTAAATTATTCTCAATCTGAAAATAACATTGGTTTTTACTTTTTAAGAAAATTACTGGATATATCCCATACTGTATTAAAAAACTATACAGTATTTACAATTACAATTTCACATACATGATCATTATCTGACATCTTCATCCAGAATACTCAATTACTTAAAGTAAAAATAAATTATGAAGAATATTAAATCAGGTTTAACACACCAGGATATGGGAAAATTATAGTGTACTGTATTGAGATCATCTTGTGGTATGGCAAACCATTTCTGAATAAATTCTAATTTCTTGAACAGCATCAAAATATCATACAGATTACCCAAAGACTTACTTTACAATATTTGGAGACAAGTTTGAACAGTTGAGAAGAGACTGTAGAGAGGAAGGATTTGAGCTGATCATTTTCGTCGTTGAGCTGCCCTACCCAAGCCTCGTACTGGCTCAGTACCCGACGATGCAAATCCTCTTCATATCTAGTGTTACAGCCCAGATAATCACATTAGAATTACTTGTCACAGTCCATAATACAATCGTTAACTTCATCAAGACGTGGGCTATCAATCTACAACCAATAGCTGATGCAAGAATACATATATACAAGAACAACAAAGCCTACACTAACCGAGCATTTGAAGCTTCTGTTTTCCATTTTGCTCTTGAGCGGTTGGGTCTTGAGAGTGCACTGGAAACTGCCATGCCTGGAGGCCGTGAATCTGATGAACGGTCACCAGATACCAGTCGGTGGAGGCGTTCACGAAGACGGTTGTTCTCAGTCTGTCGGTAAAGGAAGGAGTACGTGCTACATTCCCAACACTCGACAAAATTACTTACTATTCAAAAGGTCCTGAAACTCAGTATGTAGTAATAACTTGCATTAACTAAGCTATGCAAAATAATCATCTATTTATCTTTTCTTGTTTAAGTTTATGCTTTCCTTACAATGCCATAGTTTTATGCACTTATCCTCTTGTAGTGAGTGATGACTTTTACAGCATAGATAAACACTGATCAGTTTGTCTACTTGTTTATTTATCTACCTATACTGTACAGTATAAGCCAGACGATATGTGAGTAAACTCTGGGCTGACAGGGAAAGTATCCACAAACAGAAAAATCCCATATCTTTTGTATAAGGGATTATAGCACTGTTAATTCCTCATTTCAATTTTGCAATTTTTGGTTATACTGTAATATTTCCAACTGTTTCAGCCCTTACCAGTCACTTTCTATTTACATCCTGTACAACTCTCCCTATTATCTGCTCATCTTTAAGGGTTTCTGTATACCTTGATTCACTATATGCAAAAGCAAAAGAAGAGGTATCAGATTGATAGACAGGCTTCTAGATCTTGGTTAATTGACAACTTATGACTCACAGATATGGATCATTTCCCCTATCTCTCTCTCTCTCTCTATAATCATTCGCTTTAATATGTATGGCTTAAAACCACATACAGCACCTCTTTCTTGCGGAGTTCGTGGTGGTGATGGGCCTCTCGCTGCTGCATCACACTAGTCAGTTTCCGCACCTGTGTACACAAAATTATGTACTGTACTGTATACTAAATGATTCTAAAATACTTAAACCTTTGTAGTTTTTCAAAAGTATAAAAACAATAATGATAAGAGTGAAAATAACAGAAGACCCTTTGGATATATAAAGCAAAAGAAATGAAAAGTATGTGTTTAAAATCTTAACAACTGATAGAGGGTTGACTAAGGACATGTTCATAAGGATATGAAAATTTAAAAAAAATTATATACTGTACACCATCTAATTATCTCAGGGTACAGGTAATTGAAATATTCCCTGACTAAGGCAGGACTCTCGAAAGATTATCAACAAGACTAATATCCAGTTAGTACAGTTCTGGGTTTGAGCCTCAGTTATAGAATATTTTTCTTACAAGTATTTGAAAGACACAAATAGATATAAAAGAACGGAATGAGGGAAAATTTTACCATTAAAAAGTCAGATAAAAAAAACAATAAACAGATTTCTTGGAACATTTGTTCATGGTCAACAAATCAATGTGCTTATCTTGGTAACTATGACTGTAAAACTCAGGTGATACTGAAAATTTTAATTTACTCTGGCCAAGAAACATTATATCTTTATAAATAACACTACTGTAATGTGCTTCACTTCATACTACAGTATCTTACAAAATATATTTTCTTGAATAACACAAGTCAAAAAACTATTTTGTCCCTTCCATTTTACTGGAAGATTTCATCAGCTGACTTGGTGTAGCACATTTAACCATGGTGGTTAAATGTGCTACACCATGACTTACACACACAAAAAAATGCCCTTTTAAATGTTTTTATCTTGTCCTCATAAACATAAATCATTAACACTTGTGAAAAGAAATTTATCTATAAGTACTGAGTGTTTGCCAAATTACATATTACAGTACAGGTATTGTACATGAGAAATGTCCAGTGCTTCTTGAACCTAAGAAAACTAACTTTAGTGCAGTATCTTAATATGTGTTAAAATAATTCACAGTGAATATGTTTTTCATTAGTGAGTTTTGAATTTGATTTAACCACTATAGACAAGGAGTTATGCATTAAATATTTCATCACAACAGCAAAGGAGGTTAGTCTGGAGAAAGAATCTTTACAATACTGTAGTTATGTTTCACTCTGCACAGAGAGCCAAGAGGTGGATAATCTGACTACGTGTAGACTACCAAAAACTAAATAGTATAGTACTGTACAGTACAACTAAAATAACATGGCATAAATCTTTTGATGGTGGCAACAGTAAATGGAAACATGCACATTTTATACTTATCAATTTATGAAGAAATAAAATTAAATAATATGGCTTGAATGGATATCACTTGGGGAACTAAATATTAGTTGTGAAAAAAGTTCTTTGAACATAATGACCCATTAAAGGCACTGTGGATACAGCAAACTGAAAACTCTCGCTCTCTTTCCCTTTTTGTTACACAAGGAGGCAACGTGGCCAGCACTGAGCTTGACCACTTACATTTCTCCAGCTGCAAAGCAAGGTACCCATTCACAGCTGAGTGTCCTGGTAGAGAACTATTGATCATTTGAAGGAGGCAAGTACTATATCCACATGGCCACTGTACCCCTTGAACAATAATTAAATTTCAGTAAAACTGAAGTCATGGTAAACAGATCATAAGAAGTACTGTAGAGGTTTGTATTTTTTCATCAATGATAGCAAACCATTGGCAAAGCATCAACAAGTAAAAGAAAAACTTAAACAAAAAGACTAGTTACCAAAGATTAGTGCTAAAGCACAATATTAAAAAAAAAATTGTATGACATTGTTCTAGTGTCAAAATTTCATAATTCTAAAATTAAAACATTGACAAAGAAAAGTTACCCCAAACTAAAAAAAATTAGATAATTATAGACTGAAAATAAAATTTCCAGTGTTGGAAAGCCAAATGTTGCATTTCAGTTCAGAGCCAAACTAATACTGTTGTCTTTAACTTACACAGGTTCAGCACCCAGAGGCAGAACTTCCTCCCTTGGCATTTATAAATCTTCCCTCCCTCGGTCATATTTCACATCCTGAAGGCTAATGCACTGTTGTGAGGTAATTTACATGGACTTCAGTCAAAACACAATCAAATCAGATAACCAATGCATTTGCCCTTGGTCAAAGACAAACACACAAGGGTCTTATTTGTCAACAATACCCAAGATTCACAATTCTTATCAATCATGAGGTATAAGGAAAGTTTTCTATGCAGGGAGTTAATGTGTGAGGAGCCTGTCCTATGCATCTTCTCATTTGCAACTACAGTCGACCCTCGTTAATTCGGACCCCTTTAATCCGGATTTCGGATAATTCGGACAAAATCTGAACGAACTTTTTTTTTTTTTTTTTTTTTAGATTTGTAGGAATATTACCTACGCGGACCTTAAGCTAAAATGCTGGTCCACCCACTGCTGGGATAAAACACCAGCGTCTTTTTGGTTAAATGTAACATCTCCACCACTAGTGTGGGGGGGGGGGATGCATCTTTTAGCTTCAGACATGAAAAATATTTACTATTTACTGCCAGTAAACAATGGAAACGTAAAATATGTACCAATTAGTAATGAAAAGTTGTGCAGTTTCTTCAGCAAATGAAGCTCACCAACTTACAATAGGCTAAATTACCTTACAACGTGTTTTCAGTAGTCTATGTTGAAGTTCTTAGCACAGGCTAACTTATCATATCATATACGGTATCACAGTTCTCATTGATCTACAAAAAATACCGGTAATAAAAACCTTTTTGATATTTCACACTTAATATAATACCCGGTAATCTACTTCAACCTCCTATTGTTTACAACGACGCATGACGCACCACCAGCTGTTGAGTATCAGCTAGACGGCACACGTGTTTTTCGAATCGTTTTCAGTTAAAAAACTGTTACATCACATGTATATTTTACCTTAACTGTGACCTGAATGAATATATTTTCGGAAATAAATAGTAGTTTTGCTGAAAGGTGATGTATTTTAATGTAAAATAGGATAAAATACATGACGAAAACAAAAGACTTTACCTAAGCTTCCGATGTTCTTGAGATGTTATTCGTTTTTTTACTAGTTTTCAGTTAAAATACTGTTATATTACAATGATATTCTATTCATACTGTGCTTGATATAATACATTCACGGAAATGTAATATTTTTGCTGAAATGACGTACGTATTACAGTGGAAAGTGGGATAAAATCGTGACGAAAACAATGACTTTGAAATATAATGCAATATTAACCCCTAAATCGGATAATTCGGACAATCGGCTAAAACAGACACCCTTACCCCCCTATTAGTCTGAATTAACGAGGGTCGACTGTACTGTATTTTTTCTCTCCTTGGCAACATCTTTGAATATAACTACAGCCTGTTTCAAGACCCAGGTCAACTTATCCTCTTCTACGTGTATAAAAAAAATCATAGCCATACTACTGTATAAACAATTTAACACTATCTTTTCATTAAAGATAATCACAATTTGTTTAAAGAGGTTTTACTGTACATGTAAATTTAAGTGTCAAAGTGTTCACACTTACAAAAATATGACAAAAGTAAAACCAGGGACAATTAAATGTTACTACAGTACTGTACCTCCTCTTTTTCTGTCTTCAGCTTGGTGGAGAGAGTTTTACTGATGGATATGGCCTGCCTCTCTCTCTCTTGGGCATCACACACCAGTCTCTCTTTCTCCTCCACGCTCCCTCGTAGATCTCGTATGTTGTTCTGTTGTAGCACCAAACTTATAGACATGTCATTACTTGTAGTTAGCAATCTTAAAATTATGCTAAAACAGAATGAGCAATTTTAAGTGATGCTAACAACACACATTACAGGTCTGGATCCCCAAATTGTATGTGAGTACCTGTATATATATCCAGTCATGGCTCCTACAGACTCACTACAATTTTGATCATCATATTTTTGTCATATCTTCAGTTATGTCTTCATGCCCCAAATAAAAGACTACCAAGGTAATCCCTCCCAGAAAACGGAGAAGTCTGGCATGAATGAGTCCAGTATTGAGAGGGTTTACTGTATAAATTTCGTTTAGCATTTTCCAGTACAGTACCTGGAAGTGGTTGAGATCAGCAACATCTCTTTTCCTCTGGTCGTGAAGGGTGTTGCTGTCACGAACAGATGAACGGTACAGCTGCGTTATCTCCCAGCAGGCATTCACAAGAGCTACTAAGTTAACCCTCTGGCTGCCTGTCTCAATGAGTGGACAATTAAGACCCATTCCTTGTAGCTCCTGTAAGAAAGTTTGTCAATCATTAAAATTACCACTAACAAAATAATTGTTCCATATGATATGGTATCCCAGTACTGTGGTGTGCGCTGACCCGGTCATCATTCAAGTAAGCTGTTGTCCAAAACACCTTATTCCGCTATCGGAGACCACAGTCAGGAATGCGATCACCCCACAAATATTGGTAAGTCAGACTTCTCAACCCTTGCCACTTGCCCTGACAACAAGATGCAGGTCACAGCAGTTGCTCTTCTCTTAGTTACAAGTCTAACCAGTCAAGGCACACATAACTCCTCTACTGTTTTATTGTTTGTTATTAACTGGTATGTATTATATTTGCTTATCTTAGGTATGAGGTTATGAGCTTTTGCTATGCCTTATGATTTTGCTCTGTTAAATGTATGAAGTTTTAGCAATTAACATTTCAATACTTCTAGTGCTGTGACAGCATCTTGTTTTTGTAAGGTGCTTACAGTAATGCACCCAATGTTATACTGTAATTAATTTCATTTCACATGCTGAGTTTTTAATGTTGATGCTATTGTTCATTATTTTGTGTGTTTTAGATTTGATGATGACAAGATATATTGTTGAACTGTCACCAAATTAATATGTTGCGATTTATCCACACGTTGGTGCTGTGAGAACTGTAGCAAGGGAATGGGGACTACTTGCTCACCCTGTATATATACAGTACTATATACTGTAAATATCCCTCTCATTTATCCCTGATTAAGTGGCAATCCACAGGCAAAAATAACCCAATTTGATAGTTAACTGAGGATTCTCCTGCCTTTGCATGGGTGATGCAGTTGCTGCAGTCCACCACTACTCCCACTTGGTCTCCCACCTTGATTACCACCATACACAATATTTTTCAATCACAGTACAGTATAATATATAATTAAGGACAATACTCTAAGCTCAGACAGTGAATGAGGTACATTACAGTGGATTCTGACAGGACACAAGTCAAAGATGTAAACCTCATATCAAATCATGGAAAACTCAGTATCATGACAATGAATAAAAGCACAATGGTCACAAACAGTAAATCAGAGATAACTTAATTCATCATTGAGGAATCACGAATAACTGTGGCAATACTGCATAATGTACTGCACAGAGAATGCCGCTGCAAATATTCAAAACTGCAAACATCAAACCTGCAAATGTTGATGGTTTACTGTTTCCTTACACCTCAATTGACAAATTAGTTCCAACCCAAAGTGAGTCTGTCTAAGGCACTGCCAACTTAAATATACTGAATATGTTATAACATGATGAAGCCATCAACTTTAAATGTATATAAGATAACACTAGCATCACACTTACCTGTGACAAGTACACAACAGCACTTGGCAAGTTTGCTGTGGTACAGAAATATGGGAGTGACTCCATTGCTGATGAGTTTCTCTGTGTCTTTGCATCTTCAGCTTCCTTAGCATCACTCACTGACACCCAGTAACTCAACTGACCTCTCCTTATTTTCTCACCCATCTGCAATACATCAATTTAGAATCTTTATTCTTAAATATCAAATAAGTACTATACTCTATTGTTAAAGGATATACAGGAAGATTTTTATCCGAGAACCCTAAATAGTCCCCATACACTAAAAACTTTAACAGTTAGGTACCTAATGTTTTGTGAAAATGTAGCCTTATGTTTCATGTTCTGATATGATAATCATTTCTTGGAAAATTATTCATTTGGTAGATAATTAGACGCCTAAGCGTGCACTACTTTGTCCTCTCTGCGGCAATATGGCAGAGATGCCGCAACCCCTGATGTAAACAGCCAATCATATTGACAAATTTCAAAACACTCCGCCACTCTCTCTGCCGCACTCCGATCAATGCCAGTGTACGTTTATGAGCTGCACAGTCTGGGCAGCTGTTCTCACGTTCACAAAAAACATAAAATTACACCATATCAAAGTTCTTTCTGTTTAATATGCCAGGGGGTCCAGGGGGGAAAAGCCCCATAGCTAGGAAGTTTGGTAAGGTTACGTAGGTTTCTTTGGTTTGGTTGGTGAGGTCTTCTAACAATGCTTCTGCTGCTTGTTTTTCTTATCAACTAAGGTTAGGTTTAATTTAGAAATAACCATTTTTTTACACATTTGCGCAAACTATGAAAGCATCCACTATAAAACACAATAAAATTGCAGCATTTTTAAATCGTTCCCTATGGAAAATTGGCAGAGGGTCAGTAATCAATAATTACCCCTAAGCCTTTACCCAAATAAATATAATAAATTTCTAAGATACCTGATACAGTGATAAAATTGCAGTTTTGGCCAATATGCCTTAGTAGTTTAGAAATTAGTTTATCCTGTGTAGCTTGGTGTGATTTAATCGAATTTGACCTTTATTTTGGGGGGAAGTACCCGTTATTGTCCCCCCCCCCCCTAACAAAATAAATATTAAAAAACTTATTTCTGACATAATTATTCTTTGCCACCTGGTTGAAATGGGGTTAGAAATACTCCAAATAAGGAGATCTAAAGGTTAGGGATGGTTAAGAACAGTGTGATTCAATGGGCAAACAGGCACATCAACAACAATTACAGAGCACACAGCTTGTTAACTGCCTTAATTATTATCTCCCTCTATATAACTTCACACAAACCAATATTCATCAACAACAAAACTCATAAGGAGCCACCAATCAGCCAGGACTTGCCTCATGTTTCGATTATAAAGGAGTTATTAGAGAGCGGTGGTCGCGGCCGAGTGTCCTGGAAGACTGAGTATTTTTGTTTACCTCCAGCGGTCTGGTCCAGGTCCACCACCCGACACCGAACCCCTGAACCCGGTCCCTATAACGGCACCGAACCCCTGAACCCGGTCCCTATAACGGTGCCACATATCATAGTCTAGTCCAGGTCCAGTACCCGACACCGAACCCCTGAACCCGGTCCCTATAACGGTGCCACATATCATAGTCTGGTCCAGGTCCAGCACCCGACACCGAACCCCTGAACCCGGTCCCTATAACGATGCCACATATCATAGTCTGGTCCAGGTCCAGCACCCGACACCGAACCCCTGAACCCGGTCCCTATAACGGTGCCACATATCATAGTCTGGTCCAGGTCCAGCACCCGACACCGAACCCCTGAACCCGGTCCCTATAACGATTATCATAGTATAGCCTAGTTTATTATAAATAATTATCTGATACATTATTATTACCTATTTTTATACTAATTTATCTGATTAATGTTTCTTAGTTATTTTGCATATATTAAATTACACAACTAATTGCCTCAAGAAGGAATTAAATACTTTATATCCAAAAATCCTTTGCATTTTATTATAAACTTTTGTATGCCAATAACGAGTCATTTAGCTTATATAGATTTGTTGGGTGTTACTAGACTCATGCTCCACATCTGGGGTTTGGTTCCCAGTGGTACATAATGGCAGTAGATAGAGTTAAGTTTGACCAACTTGGCGCCGTGTGTCACCGAGTTGACCAAATTCTCTCAATCTACCTTCAGCTAACACAAAATATTATATTTAGAATTGAATATACATATAGATTAGGAAAGTTATTTTGATAGCATTGTAAAGTTGGCGACTCCACCTTGATGTATATTAAAATCATGGACACCGTATTCAAAAGCCAGTACAAGTATACAGTATGTACGATTTAGTTACGGTGTTAATTTTTATGTTATGTTATATGGAGATAACATAATGAGGCGAAGGAACATCTGAGAATAAAAACAAATTGATACAGGGGCGGATCCAGGGGGTCCGGACCCGCCTTTTCAGCGGAAAATTCCAATACCTTTTCTTTAATGCGGTATTGTACTCAGGCTTTTTGCATAATGAAAAGTAATTACTGTTGACCTCAGAATATCTCTTAATATCAAGTGCACATGGCTTCAAAATGGCCTCGGTATGCCCATGATATTGGTGATTAAAAAAAAATATTCAGGGGGCTTAAAGAGCCCCCCCGATAGGTGGGGCCACTGTGCTTGCTATATTCCCCCATCCACACCTTCTGACCCCCCCTTTTGATATTCCTGGATCCGCCCATGATAAAAACATTAAATGAGGAAAAGTAAACTATGGAGAGAAAGTGACGATTTTTAAATTTGTCATTAATCACCAATGCATACAGTCATAGGTCATATATACGGTATAACTAACAATAAATACGGTAGTGACCAAGGGTAAGGAAAATAGCGCAGGAATAAAATACTGCAATGTTTACCATACTGTAAACCAAGAATCATATATAAAGGAATAGTGGTGGAAATTTAAGGAAATCATTGATGCAGCAGTAGAAGTGTGTATTCCTGGATGCTCCTGCTCGACACATTTACTTAAGATGCTGGATGTGTGTACAGTACTCAATTCCTGGAACATGGTGGCAATATCAATAATATATATACACCTATATCTAGATTTTGCCAAGGCTTTCAACAACGTACTCCACGAAAGGCAAATAAAATTAAACTGGAAGAGTACGGAATTCAGGGGGGTGTCCTAGCATGGATCAGACTTTCCCCATGACTGCAAGCAATATGTGGTGATTAATGACATGAAATCGTCATGTGTACCCATAACAAGGAGGGCACCTCAAGGCAGTGTACTGGGACCGTTGTTGTTTGTTTCATAACTTATATGCCAGAAGCTATACATTCCTCCATATAAATGTTTGCGGACAATGCCAAGTATTCAGGAAAATTAGGAATCAAACGGATTGAGAAATGTAACAGGAAGATTTGTCAACTTCGTGAGTGATCAAAGGAATGGCCGTCAGATTCAACATCACGAAATGCAAAAAGATGCACCGAGGTTGTATGGACGGTTTAGAGATATTACACTTCTCGAGACGTGAAAGCATCATGAACTGAGACAATAGATGTGAAAAGGACCTGGATGTGTATGTCAACAACGAACAGAAGTTCTTACATCGTTGTGAGAAGGGGGTGAATTGAGCAACTAACTAGTAGGTCTTACATGAAGGACATTCACACTCCTATATGGTGTAACCCTTATAACACTCCTCAAAAAGAGACGCTTCCTCGTTTGGTCACCCGTCTGGTCCCTACGATATGCTTGAGACTGTCAGTTAATTGAAAATGTCCAAAGGATGGCCACCAAATAGGAGCCTTTACCACGGTATCTCGGTTGCCAGAGATTGAAACGTCTGCAGTTGTTTAGCTTATACAATAGGTGTGCAAGGGGTGACAATAGAAGTCTATAAACAATTTCAAGAGTTCATACCTGGAGCTGGTGGATGCCTGCCCCCACTAGGGGTTACAGATAAGGTTGAAGAAACCACAAGTTCAGAAAATTGTTAGGGCAAACTTTTTTGGTGCAAGAATTGTAAACTCTTGGAAAACTCTGCCATTGAGTGTTGCGACAGTACCGAGAGAGAGCTCATTCATAACCAGACTTGACCAACGCTGGCACAGGTACAGATACATTCTGGAGCCAGTTTGGCAAGGTTAGGTCAAGTTGTTATGTTTCTATGCATTCTTGCTTTCATTTTTGTGTTCAGGATCGTGATATTAGTCTCCACAAATTTTGGTTCAATTCCATAAATTTTTTCTGGTGCTAACCATATTGACAAAAAAATCTAAATTTTTGCGCATGCTTATTATATAAAATGGGACCTCTGAGCACACTACACCAGCATCTCTCGAAGATGGAATGGTAACTACTGCATAACCTTGATTCTCGGAGTAACCCCTTAGACACTTGAAACACCCAAGACTAACCTCCTGATCTCCTGAAACACCCAAGACTAACCTCTTGGTCACCTGAAAGACCCAAGATTAACTAACCTCTTGGTCACCTGAAAGACTCAAGACTAACCTCTTGATCTCCTGAAACACCCAAGACTAACCTCTTGCTCTCCTGAAAGACCCAAGACCAACCTCTTGATCTCCTGAAAGACCCAAAACTAACCTCTTGATCTCCTGAAACACCCAAGACTAACCTCTTGCTCTCCTGAAACACCCAAGACTAACCTCTTGCTCTCCTGAAACACCCAAGACTAACCTCTTGCTCTCCTGAAACATCTAAGACTAAACTCTTGGACACTCCCCACATCACCCAATACATGTGCTTGCAGGGGCTATGTACAAATGTAAAGGATGAAAATAACACAAAAATAATTTCATATTCATATCTTGTACATTCTTGGCACATTGCAAAAAATCAAACCACAAGTTACATTGGGTTTATCACTGACAAAACTGCAAGCAAACACGTATACTTCTACATTACATGGGTAAGGCACTCAATATGTTTATCAGTAACAAAAAAGCTAAAGCAAATCATGAAAGTGTATTCCTACAGATATTTAAAAATAATGTTCGAGTCAGCAATTCTCACTAATATTAAGATATCCTTAGGACTTTTAAAAGTAATCATCTGTAATTGCTGATGGTATCATTTATCCCAACAGTGCAGCCTCACCAAGAAAACCATATGCATACTGTATATATGGCTGTACTAACTAATGTGGTCATCTGTCTAGTTGGTGAGCTTACTATTTAAATGATTTTAACATAAGTACAACCAATTAATCTCTCTTAGGGCATTAATAAGTTAAAGGCTTCACAAAGGTAATTATATATTAAATCACAAAATAACTAACATTTAATCGCAACACTGAAAGAGGTGGTATCTTTGCTTACAAGAAGGAATGCACTAGTTCAGAGCCTGGAAATCACCGTTGCCAGGCAAAACAATCCTCCCCACACATTAGAAAAATCCCAAAATATCATGAATTCCACACATTATAATAAAAAAGAACCTACATCACCATGGTTAACAATATAAATGCAACACATGAGGCATTTACCACAATAATAATAGCAATAGTAACTTATAATTTAGCACCAAAACAATATTCTATTACAGACTATGTACATTTAAAACAAAAAATCCTCCATTTAATAGTTAGTCATACTAACAAAAGGTTCAATGCTGGTATAATACACAAAATAAAATATGTTCAGAAAAAGTAGCATAATACAGTACTCCTAAATATGTGGAATGACAATGCAAAGAAAATAACTTGTACTTCCCCTTATTTGGTAATGCACGTAACTCTAAATGTGCAAGTGTTCCCAATTTTGTTTCTCTAAGTTTATATTTTATCTATTTACCTGTACATAAAAAAATCTTGTATGGGTTCTTTTTACAACACTGGCCACCATGAATCTCCACATGCTCTCACATTATATACTAGAAACATTAACATTCTCTACATTTGAGTTGTCCTCATGCATATATAACCCAAATTCTTCACCTGCACTGTTAACTAAGCAAGCAAACAAACTTTATTATTCAAAGTTTGGACCATTTCTGCTGTGGTTTCTATAGAACTAATAATTATGTATATACAGTAGCCAAAAGTTTCAGTAAGATTCTGCATGGATCTACTCAATATGCAGAAACAAAATTCATTGATACAGTTTAAATCTTTTTGTTAAAGCATAAGTAGCATTTTCAGTATAGAATACACTGAGATATTCAATGAAATACTACAAGTTAACACAAAGTTAAGACAGACACATGCTCAAGAGTGGTTGTAAACTTCATTGTAGTTAAAATTTGCATGACCATTTTTTAAATTTATTCCAGTTGCCTTCCATTATTGTGGGAAAGAGCCAATTAGGGAGTTGTAACTGGAGGTAAAGATATTTGAACTATTCAAATTTGTAATTGTGTGTGGAGAAAACTCTCAAGCAAATCCCTACCACTTTTTTTTTAATGCATTGAATAATTATAGCTACCTATGATGCCCCTTCTAAAAAATCATATGGTTCCGTACTCAAACTTCTATTTAGGATGATCGTTTTTGCCCAAGAAATTGGGGTTATGACCATTGGTTTTTTTTTTCAAAGCCACTCTGTGCATACGACATAAATGGCATCTTGGAACACCATCATGAACTGTGCTAAATATATCACAGTATTAAGACTAAACAATCTTTTATGACTAGTAATAAATATAAAAATAAGTAGGTAATAAATTACAAACACTGCTATCTCTCTCACTACAATATTCAGAAGTTACTGAAGATTTGTTTCTCTTTTATTTACAGCAAAAATTAATGTGAAAATTACAGACCTTAAACATTGTCGGTGTTCTTTCATGATCAGCAAGTTATTAGGACTCCAGTACATTAGCAATAGTTTCAAACCACAGGAACTGTACCAATTTCAGAGCTACATAGGAGCTTTGGCTAAAATAAAAAAAAAACTATATTTGTTCATCTAGTGCTTCAAAAAGAAGTGCAGGCACTTTATTACACAGTTTCTAAAATATAACAAAATACAGTCACTTGTATATCAGCTCAAAAGACTATCATTTCCTTTTAAAGTCAGCTTGTCATGCAAAACTGATGGGGATCAAGGCTGATAAACATCCAAATTACTAGATAGTATATTTGCAGGTCTGAAGTCATTATTCTATTTCACTCTCAACCCCATAAACTTGTTCCTTCCCTTCATTTTCCTTATCAGTTTAAATGTTTACAATAAGTCATCTTGTGCCAGTTTTTCTTATGTTACTATATATCACTTGATCCTCACTGTCCAGCCACCTGAAAACAATAAGAAAAACAATACAATATTGCTTTTGGAAAGTACAAGAAAACTGAATGTAAGAAGACTGCCATATGGTATTATACGTATACATGGTACCATGCATAACTAAACACCTGGGAAATAGAAATAAGTCAAAATTTTAAAAAGGCTATACTAAATATCTTATGTAACACTTTAGATTATGTTTTACAGTTTAGTAAATGGAGATTGATCCTGAAATCCAATTTTCTAATGGAGTCCATGACAGGTAACTCTCAGTTAATCAATATTCCTTATAAAACAGTTTTCATAAGTTTGTGGAAATTTATGATAATGTGTAACTGTGTGAGGTGGGAACACATACAACTGTCTCTTATATTAATGGTCAATTTTGGTTTTAGTACCACTCAGTATAAGTGTATGGCTTTTGTGGAGTAGCATATGAAATGGTTTAAGGCTTGGGGTTTAATATTGTGTACAACATTCCTGAGAATTGTTATTTTGCACCATATTTTTGCAATACTGTATTTACATGTTGTATTTATACAGTTGTACATATTTACATATGATATCCAGTTTAGGTAGGAAGTGTATTTTCAAATAAATATTTAAATAAGAGTTAACAATGGCATATGATTTGCAAATTAATGCTTTTTTTTTTTGCTGATGTAAGTACAAGTGCTGTACATGTACTGTATTTAATTGTTTGTTTCCAAAGCTGGTTGTACATTAGCAGAGTAATTGTGAATGTGCTTTCTGCATATTATCAAGTGTATGAAAACTGCACATGATACTGTACTGTGTATGTTGGCACTACTGTGATATTCTGCCTGTTATTTATATTATGTGATAACTACATAACGAGTGCAACTCAACCTTTGTTCAAGTAAATGCACGTAAATTTCACTTCTTGAAAAGGAGAGCAATTTATGAAAAATACATACCACTAATAGTTTGCCCTCCTTGTTTTTATTGATAGTGGTGACTGATGAGCCAGTGTCAAGCATAATTGTACCCATCTTTCCATTCTTCATTGTGTGACCAATGCTGTAAAATAAACATTTGTAAAGGAAAATATTACATAGCCTAATAACTACAAATATCAAGAATAAAATTAAGACATTAAGAATGCAATTACTGTATTAAAAGCAAATAAAGAACTAACTATTTTAATTATACAGGTACAGTACATTCTGGGGGGGGGGGGGAGAGTTCTACCTAAAATATATAAATACAATATTTCTGTTTTCTAATGTTTTGAAGTAAAATTACATGGAATTGCATATTCATAGGAAATCTTTGGAGTCTCGGGTCACAGTAGAATTAGTTTCATTATTCTGCCTCTTCCTTTTCTTGTAGCTGGCTTCAAATACTGTACTGTACTGATATTTTAAAAAGCTAATTTAGAATAGCCAAAAACTTAATTTAAAATAGTTGTAACAATAAAATTTGCAAATTACTGACTATGGTTTAATTTGAAGTACACCACAAATTTACTTGCACATCAAATATCAACATGGAAGACATTTAATGATTAATTTTGTCACCAAGACTTGACTCATAACCTGATCTTGGTTCTAAATGCAGTCTAAAAAACTTCAATAATTATACTTTATCAGACCTACAAGAACATATACTATTAAAACCTCTGACAGCTTATCTTTCTATACAAATTATAGTCAAAAACAAGATTATGAAATTGTCTTACCTCTCAGATTCTGCAATTTTGAGCGCTTCAGGGTTGTCACTGACTGTTATGATCTTGGTTACAGCTTCAATCACATTTGGTACACTGATGATTAAGTCACCCTGCAAGATCAGGTCAATTGAAGTGCTCTGCTGCTTTGCCATTACAGAATGTATAAAATGGTACAAAGAAAAAGATGCAAAACTACTACTATTTTTTTCCCAAAACAAATTTCTCATGGATTTTGCTAATACTAACACAAACCTTTTATGTGGAAGTCCATCATGTCAATTTTTTTTATTAATATAAATATTGTTGCTTTCAAGTTTAATTGTCTGACCATACTGCTCCTGAAGCTTGTGTGTGGAAAAAAAAATATTTTTACTCCTATATTTAAAACCACAACTGATAAAAACAGTCCTGTATTACATTTCTTTACCTTTCACACTTGCAATGAGAGGTGCACACTAACTTACCCCCCCCACACACACATACACACACATTAAAGTTGCCACTATATTATTTACCATACCATCAACTTCCAATTTTGAAATGTGGAGAACTCTGCCTAATTTCTATTAAAATAAATAATGTTATATTTGAGATGCGTACGACTAGAGCAGACAAAGCGCCACTATGGTCAAAATCAAGATTAATTCACAAAAGGGTAGGGAAACCACCTCTTGTGTCCCAAGAGAAACTCAGTTACTCAGAATGGAAGTGACAATATGGTAGATTTTGCTATTAATTAAACTACCCACACGGCTGGTAGCAGATCAGAGGAACGCACTAGAGATCTCCAATCGTTTTCTGGTTCTTTGTCCACTCTAGACGTATGCACCTCCTACTATGTAATTTGTGTAATGCAATGTAACACCATAAACAAACTTAAAAGAAAGTGGCAAATAAATGCTGTGATGCCTTCTCCAAGCTAAGAAAACCACATTAACATCTTTACCATGAATTTTTTTTTATCCAATTCATATATGCTATTACTCCAAGATGTATTGTTTATCATATATCAATTAGCTGAAATTAAACTTTCCTCGTATCCCTAATATGACGTGTGCACATATTCTTGGCATGAAGAGTTAGTTGTACTCTCTTTGCAACATACCTATTCAAATCTACTTGTCATAAAAAGTTTTCAGATACAGGCAAAATTTAGTGTCTTAGATTTGAATTTTATGCTATTCTAGGGGTAGAATCATCTCTTTTCCTGAAACATCAAAAATATTAAGTTGCCCTTCTGATGCAGTTACTCTTTCTATGTATTGCCGTTATTGTACCAAGAATCTATAAGCCCTTTCCAGCTATGATGCAGGATGGCATGTACAAACCAAGAGAACATATATTTTAATCAGCCATCTAAAGAACCTTTCTATGTTCAATATTCTGTCTAATATGTGCATCTTTACTCACCGAGAAGCATCAAATCAAATATAAACTTGTGGTCTGTTTCACTGCAATCAGACAATGCATTACAACTAAAACTTGTGCAACACTGTGCATGGAGTAAAAGAAAAGACAACACAGAAAACATGCAAAATAATAATGTGCCAAATAGTGCATTTACAGTGATGAAAAGCCAAACTTCAGTGTCATGAAACCAAGATATTTCATGATGCAGTTGTTTATATTTAAGTGTGCAGGAATAGAGGACATGAATTCCACTGCAGTATCAGAATTCCAGTTTAAAAAGGCTTGACACAGATTATCTTCTTAACAATACTTTAAAAACTATTGTCATGATCTTCAAGAGTAATTGCCAACTCTGATATAAAGCTATGGTGTGAACTATGAGCTTTCCAAATACATTCAGTTATGGAACTCATACATTAGTTTTTATTTTATTGCATTCAGTCACTTATCTTGTAAGGAATACCAAGGACATTAAGAAGCAAAGAGTTAAATTAAGATTAATTGAAAAAGATTAATATGCCATATCAAAATATATATGTTAACAATAGTGTATTCACTATGTTACAAGCTTAAAGTGTAACAACCACTGTTTCCCTGTGTTCATAAAAATGTTTTACAGTATTCCCAAACTAAATCTTATAAATTCATAAAAATATTGTCAAAAATAAATACACATTCATGAATTCCCAGAAAACTGCAGCTTTCCCATATATTGTAGTAGTGATTCATGCACACTTTAGGCCATGTCACTTCTGAATACTGTACAGTCAAAAAAATCTTCATCAGGTTGTTTAAACATTATACACCACAAGCTGTGCGAGTGCTCAACACCTGTAATATTCTACACATGCTGGAAAGTGTATCATCATTCTTACCTTTGGATTAGGGTCACAAGCACCTTCACTCTACAGCATGCAATGAAAGTATGAAGGATTTTTAGAACATGACGTAATACAGTATTTGACATGAAAATATGAACGTATTAACTATTGTGGTAGTCCCTGTAACCAGCAAGTAAGATAATGTTCAGATGTAAAAAGAATCTACAAGTAATGTCCTGTCTACACTAAATTCAATATTTTATTTTATTTTGTAAAAGCCTCTTCCTGCTTTGAAACAGGGTAGCTGATGCTTAGTATTAACCACATACAGATGGATAGAGTGTATCATGACTTTATCCTAGAAAATTTTTCAGCAGTGAATGAGAACAAATATATAACCAAAATATATATCCTCTTAAATCTCACTCTAGATTATAGTGTCAACAGAACTTACTTTTTTTTTAAACACCAATGACTGACTAGTAATAAGAGGGAAGCTTTGAAAATAGCCATACCTTATCTCTCTTGGCATTCTCTGCAGGAATCTGTATCAAAAGAAGGTTATCTGCATTTGGAGACACATGTAGGCCTTGAACTTCCTTTAGAGAGAATCGATGCTTTTGCTTCAGCTTATTCTCCTTTGCTTCTAGCAAGTACAGAGCTCCCGATGTAAGGATCAAGATGCGTTCCCGGGGTTTGTAGCCGTGACGATCAAACTTGGTGCATGGTATGCAGTACTAGGTTACCGTAAAGAAGAAAAATTTTTACTGAACAGCAAATGCCTCTGATAGCTACAAATAACTCCTAAATTTTTAAATGTATCACTGCCAAGTGAACTGAAATTGTGACATAATGAACAATACTGTCAACCTGTTAAAGAACAGAAGTATTGTATCTATGTGTTTTGGCACACTGGAAATATTACCCTTGTAACTTTAGAATTAATATAGTACACCTGCTATACTGTAAGTATAAGAAATAACTGGAAATACTAAGAATGGAATTATTATATACCTTGTATACTGTACAGTACAGTATTAATATTCAGTCACTTATCTGTTTCCCTTACAGATACAAGACCTCTTTTTTATAATATACTAAGAGATGGGAATGCTAAGGTGACAAAGAGAAGGAGCAAGTTTGGTAAACATATGAGATGCACATGGGAGACAAGTTAGCAGAAGCTTGAAGATAACAGTGCTCTGGTGGGCATATCAGATGAGACATTGAAAATACTGTACAGTACTTGTATCATTAAATGGGTCAAGAAGAATGTGCACCAGGATGAAGTTAAAAATCGATGTGAAAAAACTATAATTAATAAGTAAAGAGTGAAGACAAGAAGAAACAAATATTAGCTTGAATAGAGACCAATAAAAGGAAGTGAAATGTTTCAGGTAGTGTATTGTATCTGGGAGGGCATATATTAGTGAGTGAAATGATGAGAGTCGAACTGAATCACAGATAATTATCAGTGGGGAAAAGAAAGGTGCACGGAGATAATAAAAGGGGAGAATAACTCTATACTAAAACATGCAAAGATAGATGCATGGAAGGATCATTGAGCCAATATTTTTATTACATATGTAGGTGTGAAGCATAGACTATGGATGAAAGAGGAACAAGTAAATTAGTAGTTACAGGAATGGAGTACAGTACCTTGAGAGCAGTACTGTATATGGGGTGACTATGAAACTGGACCCCAAGGCCTGACCACACCCATTAGTGGCAGTGCAGACACAAAAAATTGAATACAAAGCCTTGAGGACAAAATCGTAAATTTAAGCACCCCCATTTCACAGCAGATGAACTGGAGGCGCCTTGGGTGTGATCCATTGACCCTTTAGGCAGGAGGTAAACACTGTATATATAAAAGGTTAATAGTATGCAGAAAATAAGAATTACAAAGCAGGACATGAGTGGAAATGAAAGAACTGTTTCTCAGGGTCTGCTACACTAATAAAAGGGAAACCATAAAGGAGGAGACAGAATGATGTGAAGGAAATAGAGGGGAATGATAGGAGACTGAAGGAGAGACTAAAAGGAGGAGAAAGAATGATGTGAACCAAGTAAAACTAAGTGAAGGGGAAGAACATCTATGAAACATGATAAAAGTTCACCACACAGAAGCAAAAATCTTAGGTCTACACTCACCTTTGTTTTTTCTCCCGCTGTCTTGATTATGTCCTCAAATGCAGTTTTCCTCAAACTCTCAGTTACTGGGTCTAGCCTAGAGTTTACAAACCAGTTTGGCAAACTTTGAGGGTAACTTATTTTCTTTTCTGAAAACAAATAGATAATTAACATTTTTAAATACTAAAAAATTATATATTCATGAATACCTAAGAGAGCTATGGGTACATCGGTAAGGTAAAGTGAAAGGATACCACAGTGGTTCCCTCTTAGATTCATGGATGGCCTACACCTTACAGTAAACTAGCCAGCAGTGAAAATGTTATAGATCTAGAAGTTACTTGTCATTACAAAAATACAAACACCACTTAGTTGATGAGATGAGTAACCAACATCAAGAAATATACCCGATAAAATGTAATACTTGCTAACAATTCCCCCCACATAATAATCTCCATATCAACATACACCCTCATCTGGGAATTCACCCCTGAATCACTTACAAAACAAAAATGTTACCCACCAGTATGATGTATTTCTAAAACAAGAAAAAGATCTAAGGATAGAATATTACTCACATAAATCGCTATTCTGATATTTTCAGTTCGTCAGTTTTATATGCACTTACCCTTGAACAGTTGCTCAGCCAAAATCTTCTCCTCAAACATGGCTCGCTTTTCTGGTAGCAGAGCCTTCACATATTTCCGGGCAAGGTAAGTACGATGCAGACCCTGAAAAAATAAAAGGCAAATACAAATTAAATGCAAAAAGAGAATTTGTGTTAAACAAAGAAAACGAGGAAATTGTGGAATGCATTGAGAATAAATAGATTGCAACTAACATGTTACACCTACAGTACTTAGGGTTGAAAAAAAATAATCTGTTGTGATTTGAGTACAGTATTTTAAAGGTTTACAAATGAAAGTCAGCCAGAAAAAACTGCTTGTGGACTTTGAGAAACCTAGCACTCTCAATTAGGCTGTTCCAATTATGACAACTATAAGATAAAGTACAATACAAACCTAAATTAATAATAAGAATTTTATTAATAGTGGGGGAAATCCCCTACCTTACTAAAGCATAAGTCTAAGGAACCATAATTTTGAATAACAATGAGTGAAAATATGGATCAAATCCCAATAATACCAACATGAGTTCCCATTTTCACAAATCCTGGATGCAGATGGCTAATAAAGCAAGTTTTGTCAAATTAGCATAAGACATTGAGGTGTTGAAATTATGCTGGATACAATGCTTGAACCATTTCTTGAAATTATGAAAATACAGGATGTAGAAAATTAAAAGATTTTCTTATTCACAATTGGAGAAACAAAGAAAAGAGAAAGCAAAATAAAATGTGTAGGTGAATAGAACTACAATATGTGAAGTTAACACTACAGACAATTACATAATATAAACAAGACAAATTTGTTGGAATTAGATGGCAAAAACATCTATAAATTTATAAATAAATTCTAAAACTTAAAAAAATTCTAACTCTTTTCTTGATACACTTTTGTCAACATACATGATAATTTAATCTTTTCCATCTCAAGATCATTCAGGAACCAACTTACATGAAGGAGTGTTGAGGTCCCAGCACAGGGGGCTGGAGCACTTGGCCAACTCTTGTCCAAAACATTGGTTGGGAGGGACCTCGATAATCTAAACAGATATTCACACTTGACCAACTGTTGAAACCGAGCATTTGTAGGGTTGACAGGTTCATTGCGAGTGATGAAGCCCTTCACAAACCTATTCAGAATTACAGAATTAGTACCAACTTTCACACCATTTTTTTTTAATACCCTGTACTGTATTCATGATCAACGTGGCCATCTCTTCTACTCTATCTTGTTACACATTAATATCAAAATACACATTACAGCCTATGACTAAATTTGATAGTTATATGGATCCTGAAACCAATACAACTCTTACTAAGAGATAAAGTCTATCATATCACAATGAAACTATCATAAAGCTATGGACACGGTGGCATATATTCTTATCAGTTGTTAATACTGTATATAAAATGTTACATTCCCATTTCACCCAGAAAGATGCAAAAATGTTGTTATGCAATCACTCCAGTCTACCAGAGTATCTTCATGGCTAAATAATTTTAGGTTTCAAACTCACGCTCGCACAACTCCAACAGCCCATTTCCTGCGGACAAGCAATCTCTGAGCGATTACACGTCTCCAGTGCTTGGCCAGTGCAGTCACTGCTGCTTTCATCCTAAGGAACCTTCTTTTGTACATGAATGCCTTCCACTTAGCCTGGATCATAGTTGCTAGTTCACTCTTTCGTTTTTGGAAAGCATCTTCAGTCTGGAAGAGTGTCTTTGGCAACCGGATGAACAACTTAGTTCTGAAAAATAAATACTTTCAGTATTCGTACAGGGTATTTCTATCTGAAAGTATCACAAGTTATGTGAATTCCAAATATTTATTTCAGTATTATGCTTAATATGAAATACCACTCACATTTGAAATTATTGGAAGTAAGAAACAAATATTTTCATACAATTGATTGTTTAACTATGTGCACACACCTATGCACAGACACCAAACTCGTAAGAGCTTGACGAGCTCATTTGACCTAAACAGTACTTACGCTCCCATTCGGTAATCATCTGGATGATAGCCAAGATGCTGAACAATAGCTTTCACGCCATCCTTGGCTGGTCCTGGGTAGTTTGGCCATGTAGCAGGACACACAGACTTGTATCGGCCCAAGAAGATTTCATACGTACGGCGGTAGGCAAAACCTGCTCTTCTCACCCTCAAATTTTCCATTAGACCAAGATATTTCACCTGATGGCTCACACGCTCCTCATCAAAGTAAACTAAAAGAGAAAGATGACACTTGAACCGAATAATAAAATAAACGGTACCACAAAGAGTATGTGGATAGAGCTTTAACTTATAATCAAGTGGAAAGCTTCGACACAAAATAATATTTACGGCATTTCTAGAGGGTGCAAAATTATGAATCTGATATAACAATTAAAGAGAAAGAAAAAAAAGTGGGGGTGTGGGGGGAACAAGCCATACAGGTATCAAAATTTTTTTTAACAGAAAACAGTTTATCAATTCATCTTTACAAAATTTAGTACCTGTATATTTTTCCCCAGAATCATCCTTTTTTAGACAGTGTCATGACCATATGGCTTCATACATTTATGTACTATGAAATATCTTGCTTACTTACTCCCTTACCCAATCCCACATCAAGAAACACAGTCACTTACATGATCGCTTGTCATCATTAGGCTTGATGCAACGAATGTAAGAAGGTTCCTTGCTCATGAGAATGGTCATTAAATCAGCCAAACTGTTTTTGAATTGTGTGGCAGCAGTAGCAGGTCTCTTCTTTCTGAGCAGTTCATCCTTAAACAAAATACAATATTACAACCTATACAGATATTGTTACATCAATTCCCTAGTTATTAATACCTGTACCAGGTTTAAGTTGCAAAATATTTACACTCTGTATTACAATGAAATAAAAGCAAGATTTCCATAAAGCATTAAAACTAATATAGGATTGCACCTGCCAATATATGAGAGAGTTCAGAGACCCATGGAACACACAAAATGTCAGCCAAGTTAAGCCAGTACGTACAGTAGTTTTGACAGCCAAAAATTTAAAAAGTTTTGGATGGACAGGAATACTGTACACCCATTGATAACTTTATCATCAACTAAGATGATCTAAATACAAGAGGACAATAAACCTTTAACATCCATTGGCAGTAGCAATCTTAATGCTTAACACAATTTTGGAAGTGAGCCATCCAAGAAATATCCTCAAAAGAAAATAAATTTGAGCCAATAGTTTTTAAGTGGTCAAAACTGTACAGAGTTTATGGGTGGACGGATGGATGGACAATGCCAAATGGCTGACTAGTGATAGTCTACCCAGATTGGCTAAAAAAAGAAATGGCATTAATCCTAAAAACAAAAGTTTTGTAATTCACATTGAACAGTTGTTGCAGTATACTAAACTAACTAGAGTGACAACTAAAGAGTTATTTATCCAACTAAAAAAAATTTAAATACTGTACTGTAGGTTGTTCACTTCAGGAATCGTCACATTTCATTGTTAAGGCAACACTTAATGATAGCTTTCACCGAGTATAACCAGCTAGTACACAGTGATTTACTGCCCTGGTTAGCAAGACCAGACTATGGGGAAGGAGGATCAATGTTCTTTGGTTACAACTTCTATCAGATTTACCGTACCTGTAATACTGTACTATCTTATGTAACCTTTCTTCAAAAATTTGTAATTCCAATGCATTCTGTAAATTATGTCATGGAAACTGTACTTTTCTTACAGATATACAGTAACAAATCAGTTAACTCTGAACATTTTTCCAGAACCAAACTGGCACTGGTTTAATTTCTACTGTACTGTACCATAAAAACTACTTCTTACCTTTATCACAAGTAACTTGATGTGCCAGTACTGTTCCTGACCGTGATTTAAAAATGAAGATTCTTCATGCATGATTTTACTAGATCTAAGTACATGTGAACAAAATTGACTTCAATATTAAAATATTTATTACCTTGGGAAAAACGATGTTAGTTATCGAATTAGAGGTATGTGTCATGGTCTCCTTAAGGTCACGGAAGAGTAAATCATTGTTCTTGTCCAGAAAGCCTTGTACTCGGTAGGCAACTTCACCTGCATAGTGCCGCAAGCGGAATTCATCCTTATTAATTGTTTTCTTTACCTACAAAAGAAATATATAACAAAATTAAATGATTACAAATGTAAAATATCCATGGACAAATTCCAAATCAATAATGTTGAAACAGGTAAATATTCAAAATTACACCAGAATTCAGCAATGAATATGAAAAAGATCTTCGTTAGAAAACTTTTTGTTCCTAAATTGGTCTCAGTCATTTATTCTTCTACTTCTAAAAACTAATAAACTAGTATTATTAGTACTGTATACAACATAATTTTCCACTTAAGGACAAAAATTACAACAACAGAAAAAATTTAATGACAAATGTCTCAAGTAAAATTAATAAATATTACTAATAATACATACAAAGGCTCGCTGTACTTGCCTTGTTGTTATGAGAAGTGTCATAGCTAAAGTAATGTTCGTGAGAAGCCAGGTGAGAATTCATCTTGGAAAGGAAGGTTAAATCTGTTGCATCACCAGGACGAAGACATTCTTCATCCAAGAGGGAAATGATGCCTAAAAAATATTTATATATATATTATATACATTACAGTATTGTACTGTATATAGAAAATAAAATAAAAATATCAGCTGCAGCAAAGTAGTAACTAATCCACCTGGTGGTTTAATAATCATAGGATCATTATATGCCAAGATAGAAATGTACAGTACAAGAAAACCATCAGAGATTTAAACATGAAATTCATGGTTACTTAAATAAGGTTAAAGAATGTTTTTATGGTGCATGGGGTGGAAGGAAAGATAGTATTAACAGTCAAGGTTATCTGTGATGAGTACAAAAGGTAATTTTATTTTAAATACAGCATTAAAACTGATAACAAAATATGGTGTGGAAATAAACTCTGTATGTACAAACAGTTTGTAAATATCAGATGGTTTAATTGTTGTCTCTAGCTTTCACAGTGGCCTATATTATTGTCTGATATTTATGTTTTTACAAAATACTAATTAGAAATCAACCCTTGTTGAAACATTTCATGTACAGTAATGTTATGTGAAAAAAGGCTAATAACCCAAATGACAGTCAATTACTAATATGAAAGTCTAATATGTGAAATAGTGGCTTAATGAATTTGAAGTATATCCAGTGTTTTTACAAGATGTTAATATTTAACTAAAAAATTTACGAAAATACCTAAATGGTTGAGAGCAACCATTTTGCTTGGCCAGTACCTTTAAAGGTGACAAGTACAAATTAGTAAACAGTGCCCACATGATGTACAAATCACAAAATAACCTGAAGGTTACATTAATTTTATATATTTTCACACCTGTGTCTGGATTACTACTGCTGTTCACTTTAAAAGACATTTTAATTGCATGTACAAAATGCCAACATTCCAGTGATATGACAGGTAAATCCGATTGAAAATTTGGGGCTCTCTTGTGGCGGAGAAACACCATAACGTAACACAGCTGGTCAAGCAGCATGAATGACAGTAAATAAGGGAGAGTTTGTGTAGCTCTTCATGTTACCCAACCTACATTAAAGCAGGACAGGGCTTGGTTAGGTGAGAAACTTATTACATATCCAAGAAACACACAAAGAAAATGTCTCACTCTCACCTTTGTGCTTTTCCTCCACTAAATCACAAATGATCTTGTTGTCAAAGTACTGCACTTGTTCCCACTCTATTCCCTCTCGCCTGTATTCCTCCTGCTCACTCTTAAGGGTCAGCTCAATGAACACTTGCTGTAGTTTCTCATTACAGTAGTTAATACAGAACTGTTCAAACCTGTAGAATGTTACAAAACCAAAACTTTTATAAAATGTAGTTGTTCAGTTTAAAATGAATTTGTTAGAACTAGTGAATTTTACTTAAAATGCAGTCTCCCTTCATTTTTTTAAATACCTGTACTCCTTTTCATAAATATACAGGTACAGTAGGTGATGAAATTACTATATAGAGATCATAACTGCACAAACAATCTGGTACATACCCATTCTTGTCAAAGATCTCAAAGCCATAGATATCAAGAATACCAAGAAGAGTTTTCCTTCCCGCCTCAGGGCATTGAAGAGAGTGATTTAGTCTCACCACGAGCCAGTCGAAGAGACGCTCGTACACTGACTTGGCAAGGGCATCTCGGGCATAGACAGCCTGACCAAATAAAACAAATTTTTAATTTAATTATGGATATATATTAAAGATAACACACTCCTGGAACTTTCTATTGGATAAAATAATTTGTGATAGGTTATAAGAATTACACTGTACTTTATTTAAAACAATATACTGTACATGAATACAGTTTCACTTTAGAATGTATCAGATTAATATTGATACTTGAAAATTTAATAATATAGTTTCCACAGAAGATGAGTTTTGACTGCATTTTACCTGGTCTGGGCTGAGGGGTGAAGTGACAACATCTCCACGTGCCTCAATGGTACGATGTGTGAGAGCTTTAAGCATCTCGTCCTTTTCACAGCCTAGTAACTAAGAATCGAAAAGACAATGAGTATTTTAAAGAACAAGTTTCTAAACTTGCAATTGCTGTGTAGTTTATTGAACTTTTATAATCATTAAAAAACAGAAATAATAAAGATTATAGAGTTACTTATATTTCTTAATCAAATGAATTTGAAACATTTATTCTGTTCCATGAAATATTTCAAGGCTTTTCAAAATTTTCTTAAAATTTCAGTTTTTCCTTGATCAATATTTTTAGGGGGAGTTTTTCAAAGTTTGTGCAGCACTTCAATGCAGATTTTCATTTCCTATTTACTGTTAGTTTTGAATAACAGGTTTTCTCCTCAAGATGATAGAAAACCTGGAATACCCAATATCATAATTCAATTTTTTTTATATACCTTTGCTGATAAGTGGCTAAAACTCTGTACAGTAGAAACTCTTACCTTGCTGCAGTCACTAATGGGCGTTTCATCTTTAACCCTAGCGAGTCCATCATCATCTGCTTCATAGGCAACATTACCCAAGTGTAAGATGGCTCCCACCACTCCCCAAATAGACTCCTGTTCCTCCGTTGTGAAGCTGAGAATGTCCAGTGCATGGTCAACAGCCTCAAAGTCTGCTCGATCATTGATGGAATTGACAACACTGTTTTTGCCCTGAAAATTTTTTTTACACACAATATACAGTACTGTACAGTATGGGACTTAATGATATGTAAACTACAGTATACTTTTTTTCAATACAGTATTCAATATAATTGATCCACGAGAATGAGAACGTGACAAAAAAAAGTCAGTTTAAACAAAAATTCTAGCAATGGAGGCTGTATCACATTCATCAGTTATATTTTTACCAAGAGCCATAAAAGCTATATAGTATAGTATAATATAGTATAATATAGTATAGTATAGTATAGTATAGTATAGTATAGTATAGTATAGTATAGTATAGTATATGAGACACACAGTAGACAATGTTAAAACTCCATCAAACTGTTTAAAACTAAGAAGAGGGTAAACCATCATCTTTTACCTGTCTGAGGTAGAAGTAGGTGTCTGGATCTCTCTGAAGATGGAGTTTCTCTATCAGTTCATCAGGAGCACCCGCAAGAAGTTGGTAAAATATGTGGAAACTCCTCTCTCCAATCTCCTGGTGAATAACACGTGATTTCTCCAGCAAGTAGTTCAGAATGTGTCCACCAACTGGGTCACCCTGGTGAACAAGACACATGATTAAAAATAAATACAAAAATAAAAATATATAGTTTATACAGTACAACTTTTATTATCTATATTTACATAAAATATTGCAAATACCATAATACAGTACTGTACTGTAATCTTATTTTTCCCACTTACAGGATTTAGTCAGCATTACCAAGCTTTATCTTACACACTTACACAAATTACAAATTTACAACCCTTGTCAAGATTACAGTACAGTGGTCCCTCGGTTAACGAGCGCCTCGGTTAACGAGTTACCTTCCATAAGATTCTTAACTTCGGTTAATGAGCAATCCCTCGATTAACGAGTTTCCTACGAGCCGACCTCCACATGTTTTAGCTTGCATTTGGCGGTCCACCAGCAGTAGTATTAGTCTGCCAATACAGTAATCGGTTCTAGGGCTTAAATTCCTTACCCTTTTAGTAAATATCACGAAGTTCATACTATTCAATAATTTTAAAGGTTTAATATTTAATTTTTTAGTCATTTTAACAATTATTGAACATAATTGAAGGTAGGGTCACTAGTTTGTGGCACGCCATCCAGCCTGCCAACACAGCATACAGGCGTCAGTCTTTTTGTCTTTTCAGTGGAGGTAACATCTTGCTTGAGACTCTTCAACTAAATGCATTTTTTCTGTGTTTACAAGCAAATTATTGGTCATTTTGAAGTTTATTTTACATATTGACAATATATAATGCAGTGCAGTGTTGATTTAAAGAAAATAATCTTGAATTACACCAAGAGAACTAAAATTTTATGGGTGAAATGGCACCATGGGGTGACTTCTCTTCCTCCCCAATGCCTACTCTTCTCCCTTCTCCTCCACCCCCATTCTAATTCCCATCATCATCATCATCCAGGAGCCTTCTACATACACAGCTCAAAGTAAGTGTACCTTTCAACCTTTTTTGTTGAATTTAGGCAATTTTCGGTGAGCTGGAACCAATTACCCAAAAACCCATTGAAACAATGGTTTCGGTATACGAGTTTTTCGGTTAACGAGCAACCTTCTAGAACGGATTGTGCTCGTTAACCGAGGGACCACTGTACAGTACTTCCATTGCAAAGGGCAATGTCTCTGTCTTGAATGGTCATTAGTTAGTAATAAACTGAACAGTTTAAATATTAAGGATGGTTCTAGCAGCAGCAGGCGACAGCAGATGGCGTGACGTAATTATGATATGGACTTAATAAGCCGAGTCACACTAGGTTGATGGTCTTTATCTTTCCTGCACAAACATTCATACATACTGTACTGTACAGTATATGCATATATGCACCTGGTGCACACACACACACACACACACACACACACACACACACACACACACACACACACACACACACTTTCATACCCACAAGATACTCTCATAACTTACTTTTTCTTAAGTGTAGCAATTTCAAAATCAAAATAAAACGGAGGCACTACTTATTATGTACATGGATGAGCAAGGAAGATGCACCTGAATTTATCTCAAAAATCCCAAAATTTCCTTAAAATTGGAAATGAGGGTGATCTGGTGTCGCATACCCATATACAGTACAGTAGTTCTGATAATATGGTTAAGCCACTTAGCGGGAGGGGGGGGGGGGCTATCACACTGGGCTAATTTTCCTTTGTCTTTATGATTTCAGACTCGGTAGTTTTTTGCCACCGACAATCCGTACACCCATGAAAGCTTATGAACCAATCATCTCTTGACTTTTTTAAATAAAATAATTTAGCAATAAAATAACCTACCATGATATATTTCTTGAAAACCCATGCATTATTATCAACACGAAAAAAATAAAAGGATTTGTTCTGTGGATATTAGACTTTCATTTATTTACATCACAGACCTGTAAGGCACCTGCTTTGAATTTTCCTTGATTCTGGATGTACCAAATTGTTGAACTGTGTGGCCCAAAGAAGAAGAAGGCCTTTTCTTTCTCTTTCTGCTCCAAAATTACAATTACAAGGGCAAGTGCTGCATTTTGGCCCGAGAAAAGGCCATTGGTCTATAAGATATCTGCCATCTTTGTTATTATGATTCTGCTGAAGACCATTGCCCTCACAGTTCGTGTGATAAGGAGACAATATGATTGTTAGAACAAGATAGTGGTGCAAGAAACCACAGCAAATTAGCTCAATGTTATAATCACTTGCTAACGTTAGGATAGGATTTGTATCTCAAAACCAAAACCTTTAGTTAACGAAGCGTCTAACAACCCACACCTATCTTACCTTGAAGTTAAACTCGATGTCCATGTACTTGCCGAAGCGGGAGGAGTTGTCGTTTCTGTTGGTTTTGGCATTGCCGAAGGCCTCCAGTAGAGGGTTACTGTGTAGGAGGCGATCTCTAACACGGTCCATCTCCCGCCGGTGAAGAGATGTCGCCGCCAGGAACCGCAACACCTGCTTGCTGGCCTCCGTCTTACCGGCCCCTGACTCACCTGAAAGGAAAGGGAACGAGTCATGGACCTGTCAGAGATCAGTCATACTATTATTCTGTCCTAGCATCACCTCACCTCATTTGTTGGTCAGCCCAGATCATCAATTATTCGTGATTCAACTTCTCCAATATGTTACACCACCACAATCCCTGGTTCACCCAAGCCACGAGATAAAGATATTGGCCATAATACAGTGAAACCTCCATATAACGTACTTCTCTTTCTATATAATTCATTATATAGAAGGTTTCACATCTAATGGACTTCCATCTCTATAATTCGTTAAGAGGGAGATTTCACATCTGACGGACCCTAAATATAACGGAATTCCTCTCTATATAGTCCGTTAAGTTGAGGTTTCACTGTGGCAATAATATATATATATATATATATATATATATATATATATATATATATATATATATATATATATATATATATATATATATATATATATATATATATATATATATATATATATATATATATATATGAGGGAGAGAGATAGAAAGTAATTTAACACGATAAATTTATAACTTATTTTATTCACAAACACGTGAGAAATGTATGATTTTATAACAGTATGAACAAACAGGTAAAACAGTTGTATGATCTTACAGAGAAAGTATAACAAGAACATCTACCTTACACACTCTACCGCCCCCCACCAAGAGAAAGGAGGAAGGAGGGTGCAGCTACAAGTTTACAACGATAACCTAGGGAGGGGGTGGTCTGGACGGCAGGTTGAAATAGCCATGGTAGGAGGGACGGCAGCCTAAAGCTCTTTCACCATCCCACAGTGTCCACGTTTGCTTAGCGAAACTTATATCTGTTAAACCCAATTAGTAATACACTGTCATGGAATTAAACTTTTAAACATATCTGGCACACAAAAATATACAGTAAGCATTGCACCCATAATCGACAAGCGTCCTGGTTAATACTATCGAGCACTGGCAAATTTCGAAGGTTAATTGTTCGAGTTTTCTTTTCCAGATTTACACATTTCTGTACTTCTTATTTAGCAGATTTATCGAGCACCAGGAAAATAACGTGGAAAGAAATATCAGAGGGTAAATAGTGAGTGACAAACAACTGATGTCATGGTTTGTGGTTATGTACTGTATTAACTTCCTCATACAAGAGACGTCTGTTAACCTACGGCGTAAAATTACTTCCTAGTGCAGACAAGTGTACACAAAGAGATCCCCAGCTGATGCTCGGCGACAGAAGAGGAACGATCCGTGTAGGGCGGGAGGGGAAGAGCCTTGAAATAGCAGCTCGTAATGAGATACAACACGAGGGGAAACACACCTCTCCCTCAACACTTGGAAGACGTGGCCTCCCCTCGTTCATCTACACCTCCAACATAAATATAAAGTGTTATTCAATACTGTGTCAATAAAGTGTCCCTCAACCGAGTTTTAGGGACCGTTTTGAAATTGATAAACATTCATATGATCAGTGTTCTCCAGAAGTTAAAGAATAGTTGGTGGAATTTCTTAAGTAGCATGTGGGATTAATTTAGCTGTCGAGATGACGATGAGGGCGTGCAGGAGGGTGTGGTGAGGAGAGGAGCCCCCCCTTCGCTGGGACACTGAAGGACTTTTACATATTTTAAAGGATTTTTTGGCTGTACTCGTGAAATTTTCTGCACATGATAAGTATCTAGTGGTTATATAGCGAGTGATTGAAAACGTCGGACGCCAGATCTCTGAAGAATACGAGAGATGAGAGAGAACGTTTACGCCTGTATAATTTTATGTTTTACAAGACACACACACACACAACAGTATTTACATTACAGGGTCAACAACAGTGGATTGGGATTACCACTAAGTAATGCGGCCGTTTAAACTCCCCGATTAAGACACCAGTTAAAACAATACACAATCTCTAGAATAAATAAATGAAATAAAACACACACTGTACTTACATCTAGTGAGGATTACTTTGGTTGGTTCCTATTTCTTCCCTCGTTTATTCCTTCCTTCCCTCCTTTATCCCTCCCTTCCCTCCCACCCATCCCTTCCCCCGTTTCTCTTCCTTCACCCCATCATTCAGCATCCCGTATGTCATCTCTCCTCATCCTCCTCGCCTTCCACTCTAGGCATAATCTAAACACTGCTGGCCCGACCAAGGCCCTTAGACTTATCACTCACTACGCCTTCCCCAACCACTCCACCCCTCCAACTATCCTTCTTCCTCCCCAAACCCCTCCACAATTAACCCCTCCCTCTACCTAAATCCGCTCTCCAAAACTCCTTCCCGCCCCCTCCTTCCCAAAGCTTAAATTTAACCTCTCTCCAAAAACACTCCGTCCCTCCTTCAAACCACCCAAGCTCCCCCTCTTTCCCATCTCGGTCGTAACTACACCCCCTCCCTACTTTTCTCCCTCCTTCACTCTCCTCCATCAACCTTCTTTCTCACCACTTGGCAATACTTCAAAACCACCATCTCCCCAACCTCCCCCACTCCTGCCTCCTCAGTTCCATTCGCCTGCCTGCTCCTCCCCACTATAGCAGCCGTCTCTGGTGCTGAGCGGGGAGCAAACTACTACCAACCCCCCCAGCACTATCCGGATATAAACACAGGCAGCAGGGGGTGAGCGTTAGCTGGTGCCGCGGTGAACGTACACACAAACACACATACCAAGTCGAATCTTTAATAAAAATAAATAAAAAAACATAAAACTGGTTATTATCGAGGTCTTATTAAGGAAATTTTTACCAACTACTGTAAATATGTCCAATAAAACGAAAGTACTCAGACCTTCCACACAAAGTATTTATATCTTAACACTACTGCTAACTTTAGTCAACAGCGTGTGTGTAAGATATAACTAGGGGTAAATGGTGTACAGTATAAGAAAACTTTACCATAAACTCAATTTGCCAAGGATCGAACTCAGGACCACACCCTTTCGAGGCGAGGATGTTGACCAACCAACTACAATACACCAGAAGTCGTCACCTTAACACCCTTACTTAAACGAGGATCTTAAAGCAAGTTCATAATTACAACAAAAAGATAGTGATACTGGCGGTGGTAGCGACTGTTCACCCGCGCCCCTTGACATATAATAGCCAGATAATGGGGGCCTGTGTGCCACTGACACCACCACCATCTATCGCAGAAGGCGTGTACGAGCTACTGAAGGAGTGACAGCCAGGTATTTACCACGTCCGACCAACCAGCGCCTCTTTGACACACGGTGATGACGGCCTGTGTAACTAACCAAGGTCTTATAATAACACCCAAAGCAGAAGGCGCAGACGAGTTCCTGAAGGAGGGATGGGTAAGGGTAGGTAACGGGGGGGGGGGGTATTAAGCTCGACTCTCGTCCCCTGTCATATAATAGTAAGATAATGGCGTCGGGTGCACCAGGACCTTACAACAACACGTCTTGTTGGCTGGCCAAACACTCTCCCTCACCATTACGGCTATCTCACTCCCGGCCTGGTGAGAGAGTGATGTGTGGGAGGACGGTGAGGGAGGGGAGTACGAGCATGGTCGCGGGAGCCAATTTTATTCACCTCAACCAGTATAGAACATTTTTTTTAACTAAATTTAAGTAATCCTAACCTACTGTAACCGTATCTAATAAAATAATACTAATTTCAACAAAATATTAAAGGGCGATAAAGGCTAGGTTAGTTTAGTTTAGTTTAGGTTAGGTTAGAATTTCATGATGAACTTAAGAGAATAACACCATTGACCTTGATTACATTCACGCCAAGACATACAGTATATTGATTTATATAACAGTATATCTTTTAACAAACCCTTACCACTGTGAATGTTAATATATATATATATATATATATATATATATATATATATATATATATATATATATATATATATATATATATATATATATATATTGATTTATCTATATACACTATTTATATAACTGATACACATTATTTTTGGTGTATATTATATATATATATATATATATATATATATATATATATATATATATATATATATATATATATATATATATAACCATTAACATTAACAGATTCACAGTGGTAAGGGTTTGTTAAAAGATATACTGTTATATAAATCAATCAAGGATATGTGTGGGAGAGTTAGCTTGTTCCCATGACACACAAACACTTCCATGTTTGTTGGTTCATGTACGCGATGTGAAGGGTCGCCTGGGGAACTGCTTACCAACCCCAGTGTCACCACCCACCCATGGTCATCACCCATCATCCTGGCCACCCACTACCCCGCCCATAGATGATGACACACACCCAGGTCACTACACTGGGCATCACTCCGTCTGTATACGATAAGAATGGCATAACGAACACGAGTCTGTCTGTCTGTCTGTCTGTCTGTCTTTATTCTTCCATTACCAATTATCACGCATACATATCACGAGTTTTTTCCATGTAACTTAACACAAACTCAGACAGCATTACAACCAATACAAAAAAAATACGATTCTTGATTAGTTAAAATAGAAATGATCTTGGGTGATACTAATAATTATCATACACCATAACTCATGCAAGAACAAGTCATATTGTTTATTAATGGCTAAATATAGACTTAATCAGTATACGTATATGATAGGTATTTAAGCCCTACTGTCGGTATATATAAAAGAAACAAAACGAATAGGAGTTTGGCGAGTGTGGTGGTGATGTATGATAATTGAAGACGCATGTGGAGCGTTCAGGGAGGGGGGGGACACTTACACACACAGAGAATGAGACTCGTTATACTGTTTACACACTAAAACCCGTGTCCTCAAGAGACTAAATTGTGAAGCTCTGTATAAAACTGTCACATAAGCGTCACTTTTTCCCTCCCCAGTGACGAATCGTGCTTCACATTACACCAAGAACTAACTGTCTCTTTTGGCGACATTGTTCAACACAGTCTGAGGTCAGTAGTCAATGAGGAAATATGCCAGGTCAAGTTAGGGTAGTTAAGGTCAAGTGATATAACTGAACTGATTCTGTTGTTTGTGGATGAATATGAAACGTATTTAAAAAGGTAATCATCGGGAAAATAGATTACCGCTAATTAATGGATAAATATTATAAAAACAGCGCCAACATGAGCAATCCATAACGCCTGTAGTTTACCCTTCCTTTACATTACAGCTACGCCAGACGAACTTTCGCCTGTCTTTTATTGCCCGTAGTGTACACCCAGTTATGGTAGGAGCGTGAGGATAGCACCGATGTCTCCAGCCCCGATAACACTTATCATCAGAAGCCAACACTCCACTAATACTTAACTGATAACAGGCTGACCCATTAACCAACGGGCCCTCTGTCTCAAGGCTTCGCTCGTTACTCTGTCAACACTGAGCCACTGTCATTAACCCCGCAGCTTATTTCACCTAATTAAACCCCTAAACGATACCCGGGCAGGATTAGATTAGATAAGGTTGGGTTAGCGTTAAATTAGTTCTTAGGTTAGCGTAAAGTTAATTCGTTATGTTAGATTAGTTTAGTTTGTTAGGAAAGGTAAGGTTAACATTTGGGTGTTTAAACCTGAGGTGGAATAAGCCGGGGTGTCTAATTTTCAGGTGATCCTCTTGGTGTTGCATTTTATTGCCTCATGACCACCTAATGGCTACTGACTCGGGAACTAAAGGTCACGGCCCCACAACCTGATACCCGACACTTGACCCATAGCTACATCACCAAGCAAGAGCATAAAATTTCCTTTTGAGAGAGAGCGTGCTTGTATGTTACGTCAGGGGGTGCACAAGAAACTAGCTCCCGTGTTTATTAGGGTTCACCTGAAGATTAGACACCCGATGATTTGACACCAGATTTTATTTAACCTGAATACCACACACTCAACGCACCTCTTACCATACCATACTCAACCCTCAATACCACACACTCACCGTACCTCTTACCATACCACACTCAACCCTCATAAACTAGTACCGGTTCACACAAATGGTTCCCCCTCCGCCTGCCTCCACCACACCCATACCAAAGACTCACTTAACCACCGCATAAAATATTCTTCGCATCCCAAAACAAATCTCGCTAAAAAAACAACAACGAACAAAAGACTTCGTTAAAATATTCGCCAAATACAACGAATCTTTCTGGTTGTAATGCGGTGAGAAGTGTTGAAGGGCAGTCTGATACAACGGTACATGGCAAGGGAGAGTTAGGTTCTGTTCATGGCAGTTATCGTTGTGTTAGTCATCTCTTTCTTTCATCTGTGAGAGAGAGAGAGAGAGAGAGAGAGAGAGAGAGAGAGAGAATTTTTACGACTAATCGCATTTACCACAACTTTTTTTTCACCGGAATTCAAATTTGCTTTTTTTTTCTTCAACCATTTTTTTATTAACAAAGGTTTGGTGTTGTAGTGACCAGCCTGTATTATCTCAACCACTCTACCTCCACCGGGTAACCTTTACACGTTCTTCATTAAGCATCGTGACTGATAAAATGAGTGAATGTTGATGGTTAAAATGTCACGCCCTTCGCAACATTCACACTTGTATTTTGCCTGGAAGCGACTGGGTAACCACTGTCAACACCCCCATACACAGTTAGTGGGGGACATCACGAAGGAATAAAGCAATGTGTAGATTATGTTCCACCGCTCGGGTCTTTCAGCTCTAATGAAGGTGTTAAGATATGGTTTGTTGTGGGGTGGGTGGGTGGGTGGTGGTGGTGGGTGGGTGGGGTGGGTGGGTGGGATGGATGGATGGATGGATGGATGGATGGATGGATGGATGGGTAGGTGGGTGAATCGATGGATTCTATCTCCTATCATACCTATATTTCTGTACTTAAATACACAATAAAACACCTTTTCTACACACACACACACACACACACACACACACACACACACACACACTCTTTTTCTTTCTATACGGAGCACGAACCACACACATACACACAGCGACTGTTGGTATCTAAAAAGCAACCCATAATTAAGACGTTAAAAGGGTGTAAAGATCCGGGTTGAGCTGACTAGATGGAGCTGATGACGTGATGGAGGTGATGACGTGATGGAGGTGATGACGTGATGGGGGTGATGACGTGATGGAGGTGATGACGTGATGGGGGTGATGACGTGATGGGGGTGATGACGTGATGGGGTGATGACGTGATGGGGTGATGACATGATGACCAGATGACGCTGCACTGACCTGAAATAAGGATGCAGTGGTCAGCGACTTCGGCCGTCATGGACCTGTAGGCATTTTCTGTGATGGCGAACCTGAGAGAGAGAAGAGGTACACAGGTTATATGGTCAACACCTGGTGGGTCTTGATCAACACCTGGTGGGTCATGGTCAACGCCTGGTGGGTCATGGTCAACACCTGGTGGGTCATGGTCAACACCTGGTGGGTCATGGTCAACACCTGGTGGGTCATGATCAACGCCTGGTGGGTCATGATCAACGCCTGGTGGGTCATGGTCAACACCTGGGGGTCATGGTCAAAACCTGGTGGGTCATGGTCACCTGGTGGTCTGATCAACACCTGGGGTCTGATCAACACCTGGTGGGTCATGGTCAACACCTGGCGGTCATGGTCAACACCTGGTGGGTCATGGTCAACACCTGGTGGGTCATGGTCAACGCCTGGTGGGTCATGATCAACGCCTGGTGGGTCATGGTCAACACCTGGTGGGTCATGGTCAAACCTGGTGGGTCAGGGTCAACACCTGGTGGGTCATGGTCAACGCCTGGTGGGCGATCAACGCCTGTGGGTCATGATCAACGCCTGGTGGGTCATGATCAACGCCTGGTGGGTCATGATCAACGCCTGGTGGGTCGGTCAACGCCTGGTGGGTCATGGTCAAAACCTGCGGGTCATGGTCAACACCTGGTGGGTCATGGTCAACACCTGGGGGTCATGATCAACGCCTGGTGGGTCATGGTCAACGCCTGGTGGGTCTGTCAACCTGGTGGTCATGGTCAAACTGGGGTATGGTCAACCTTGGGGTCATGGTCACACCTGGGGTTATGGTCAACACCTGGTGGGTCATGGTTAACACCTGCGATCAACACCTGGTGGGTCATGGTCAACACCTGGGGTCATGGTCACACCTGGTAGGTCATGATCAACACCTGGTAGGTCATGACAACACCTGGGGCGTGATCAACACCTGTGGTTAAAGGTCAATGCGCGACAGGTGCAATAGCACGAGTAGCAAGGCAGGTGTTGCACACTTGAGAGAGAGAGGAAAAAGAGAAGAGAGAGAACACACACACACACACAGGTCCACAATCTGTTGCCCATCACCCTGAGAGCGATGTCACTTGATCCACACAACCTTCACCTGAGACCACCACGGCACTTTGGTGAGTGGAGAAGAAGAGGGGCGATGGTGGGTGAATGGCGAGGCTGGGGTGGGTGAATGGCAAGCTGGGGTGGGTGAATGGCGAGGCTGGGGTTGGTGAATGAGGCCGGGGTGGGTGAATGGCGAAGCTGGGGTGGTGAATGGCGAGGCTGGGGTGGGTGAATGGCGAGGCTGGGGTGGGGAATGGCGAGGCCGGGGTGGGTGAATGGCGACCTTGAATGGTTGGAGGAGTGGAGAGAGAGAGAGAGAGAGAGAGAGAGAGGAGAGAGAGAGAGAGAGAGATACCACACATGGGGCGGGACCTTGTAGTTGACGTTCCTGTACTTCTCCAGGTACTCATCTGTACAGCCCCAGGTCCTTGTACGGGTTGACGGAGATCACCACCTGCCCGATGTACGTCTGTCGGGGGTCAAGTAAACATTAGTACAACATTGTCAACAAATTAGGAAAAGTAAACATCGTCAAAAACTTTAATGATTCATGAATGTTGATACTATTACACATTTGGTAAACATATTGCCGATAACCTTTGACACTGGTACTAATGAGGGATGACGATATTGTTAAATAAAGGATACCGGAACTATTGACTGTCAACTGACGAGTCGGGTAAATAAAGAAAATTTAAATATAACAGGTAATACAACACAGGAGACACTAAAATGTACGATACATAATAGTTCTGGAAGATTAAACAAACAACCATAAGTCACTCTTACTGCCAAGCACTGGGAAATATGGGGGGAGAGTCCTCATCCAACACTGGGTTTATGATGATTGGAACATAATTATCATTACTCCATAATATAAATATATATATATATATATATATATATATATATATATATATATATATGATGCACCAGTAAGTTACTAACGACATGACCAGAGAGGCACTCCCCCACACACAACAGACGCGGCACTGACCCTCCCACCCATCAGTGCAACACCCCTGAGGATCAAGTGTGTTGTTAGTGAAAACAAGAGATTCAAATAACTGAATCAAACAACACAACGAAAACACCACTACTGCCTAACACCACACCCACTAGTTTGAATATTTTTACCATCTAAAAAAATAAAAACCTCAATTTCCTAATCATGTCTTCACTTAGCAACTATATTTTAACCCAGACGCTCTTCACACCGTAACACTATATCACCAGTGACCGCCAGCCACCAAAGGACGGCCGCCCGTACTTTACTAATAAATTACCAATATTCACAAGCAACTGTTTATCTAGGTTTATCCACTACACCTTCCACACCACACCTGCTTACACCTTTCAAGAATGGGGAGGGATGAGAGGGGGGAGGGGTCAGAGGGGGGAGAGATGAGAGGGGGGAGGGGATCACTTGCACCCCCCTCAATCCGTTGTTTAATTATATAGTCAAGGATAATGTGTATGAATGATATACAAGACAATGGTAGCATGATACACAAGAGACTAATACAAATATAAGAACATAATATTATACAACTAATTCGTAAATAAAAACATAATGTACACGACGGTGATTCACATATTGTATTCATCACCCAATGTCAACCGCTGCTGGGACGCCACATGTAGAGTTCCTATGTAAACAAACAATCCAGTGGTGTCGGAATACTGCACACGATGCTCTCACGTCACCCACCCACTCCTCACACGAGGGAAAATAAGTATCAGTTTGTCAGTAAGGAAAGGTAAGCACTGGGTTAGGATTACAATCATTCGGATCAATTATACCATTTTAGGATTATCAGATCACCTGAAGATTAACCCCCTTAGTTTATTTTGCTTATATCCCAGTGCTTTTTACAGGACTGATGACGTGGCTGAATTCCCAATACTAAATTCTATCACATTCTTTTCCAACGACTCGGATTATACTTGTATGGCCAGTTTTTTCTTCATTCATATACTCCATAAGAGAATCAATTCGAGGCTATGGAGTTAAATATTATATCTCCACAACTCTCCCATGGACGTTATCAACACAGACGTCTCGAGTTGTTTTAAAATAGATGAGGTTTTATCACGTGAAGTAAACACCAGGGATGGAGTGATACAGTATCTGTCATTAAGTGGCGGCGGTGGGGGAGGGGGGGGGGGTGTTTTAGATATGTACAGTACAGTCCCCCCGTCCCCTGCCCATCAGTAGTCCCGTCAGTTCTCTCTCCCATTCATGAATCAGAATCCGAGACATCACACAGTAGGCCATCTATGTGTGATGTCTCGGATTCATAGGTTCATATGAGTCTCAGGGTTCATGGATGGGAGAGAGGACTGACAGGAATCTTTTTCGGGGTTAGGTTAGGTCGAGTCAGATTAAGTCTAGGTTGGTGAGTGATACGTAATTACTCAAGAACCAATCAGAAGACGTAATGATATACAAGGACCAATCATTACACGCAAAGTCCACATAAAAGTGTATTCTGACAACATAAATGAGAGGACCAACTGTGACCTAGATGTTTACATGTGTGGGTAGGAAACATTGCCTAACTTAGCGGCTTCTCCTCCGACGCCTACACCCCCTCTAACGCTCAGGAAATTACTAAGAGGGCGACTATCACATGAGGACCACCACCACATGACAACATCGACACATAACACCCACATAGCGCACCAACACCAGATACACACCCACAGTCTCACATTCAAACACCCACATACTCACCGCTACACACCCACACACTACACACACACACCACACACACACTTATGTAATACTTCGACTGCATTCCAAGACCTGTTACACTCGTAGTCCTACTTAACCACAAGTTAACAGTGGCACTTACACAACACACGACGTACACTGATTCTTGGAAATGATCTATTGGAGAGAAGAGAGAGAGAGAGAGAGAGAGAGAGAGGAAAGATAAAGAGAGGAAAGATAAAGAGAGAGGAGAGAGAGAGAGATAAAAGAGACAATATGAAACACTGAGATACATACAAGTCAGAATGTGTGTGTGTGTGTAATAATAATAATAATAATAATTAACGGTTTATTGAAAGGCTAGGTATATCAGTTCTTGGGAATGTTAATAAATAAAGACATATGCAATAAGACATATAGTAACTTAGATGGGATCAGCTAAATACAGTTCATTTCAACATAGTGACAGTGTGGAGTGTTTCTGGGAGGAATACACTGATTTATTACATGTGATAATTTTACAATGGTTGGGACTTGTTTTATAGCGAGTTCGTGCACGTATGGGCTGGATGCGGTTGGGTGTCGAACAGCAATTCTCGGACGGTCTGTTGTAGGGCGGTGTCGGGGATGGTGTAGTTTACAATTTAGATGAGTGTGGTGTGTGTGTGTGTGTGTGTGTGTGTGTGTGTGTGTGTGTGTGTGTGTGTACTCAAAAACATTTAACTAACCAACACACACACAGGTAAGGTATGTCAAGGTGAGGAACTTCTGGTGGTGGCAGCTGTCCTAGAAACAATTACAACTTGACACTCCATCATCTCACCTCCACCCTCACCCTCCCTCGTCCCCCACCACCCTCACCTCCCTCGTCCCCCACCACCCTCACCCTCCTTCTCTCCCCACCACCCTCACCTCCCTCGTCCCCCACCACCTCACCCTCCCTCTCCCACCACCTCACCTCCCTCCCACCCCTCACCCTCCTTCTCTCCCCACCACCTCACCCTCCCTCGTCCCCCACCACCCCCTCCCTCTCTCCCCACCACCTTGACATCAAATTTCTTTCCGAGTTAATGTTACTTGTTTATGATAATATTTAAAACCAATCGCCTGTTATCTTCACGTTTATATTATTAAAAAAATTATTTCCCAAATTTTAAATTTTTTTTTAATATATTCACCTCACCTGACGGTACAACACCCAGGAATTTTTTTATGAAGGAACTTTATACTGTAAACGTGGCAAAACATGGACTAATTACCTTAATGATTGTTTATAATGAGGGAGAAACAAGACAGTGTGTATAATGAGCAAGATACATTGTTTTCTTGTCAAGGGAAGTCCCCCCCCCCTCATACACTACCTCACTTGCACCACAGTCGCGGGTTGAAACGATTTATCACCTAAAATAACTGTAAATGAAAAAAAAAATAGTATATTGGCCTTTTGTTAAAAATTTTCAAGTCTGATTTCGTCCACTAGTCATAGGTGAGGTATCCGATAACTCAGATCCGTTCAGCACATCGGTATAAAAATAAAGAATTAAATAAGAACCTACTGTGGGTGTGGTCTCAAGTTAAGTTTGTTCCACGGCAATACAAACCGGTGTTAACATATGCTAGAGAGGTGTGGTGTGGTAGTGATTGGTGGTGGTTTTTTCGCTTAAATTTTGTGGTTTGGGTTTATATTCCATGTTTTATTGAATGTTTTTTATCTGTGTAATTTGCATATTTTTTGTGGTCAATAAATTTTACCTATCTATCAACAGTAGTGACGAGATATGGGAGTGGTGTCCGGCATGATGTAATATTCCTCACACCTGTTTTTCCTAATTACCATAAACCAGCTAGCACTCCTTAATATCTTGCGACCTTGATATAAATACGTATTGGTTTGGTTAAGTCAGGAAGGCCAATTACTATGTATGTATGTATGTATGTATGTATGTGTGTATGTATGTATGTATGTGTGTATGTATGTATGTATGTCAGGTGTGTGTGTGTGTCAAGGGCCAGGGTAGACAGCTATCAATCCCCAGGGACGAGGAGGCTTACAGCTGAGGACGTCACGCGTATCGGATGTGACGTCACAGCTTAACTAATGTCACCGGCACCGGAACTCTCAGAGGCTGTCACCTGTCCGCTGGCACACCCTTGTTAACACCTGACCTAAACTAACCTAACCTAACCCAATCGAAGAGGTGATACACAACTAATTCTTCGGACAATTTTTTTATTTATTTTTTATTAATTTATTTCTCCCACATTTCACACCTCTCTAGAATCATATGATCGTTGACATATTGTAGATTAATTGACAATAACAAACGGTAATTACTTCTTATCAATACATTATTTATCAGTTATCATCGAATATTAAATGTTTGTGTTATCGTGTTTACATACACTTAATACAGTCATGAGCCACCTTGTTTACACCACAACACTCCTGGAGGATTACAGTATGGCCGCCGAGAATACTAAAGACTATACCTCACACTGTCACTAAAACACACGTAGAATATAACATTAAACCAAATACTCTTGAAATAAACCAAAGCTAAAATTAGATCATCATAATTAAATCCTTACACAACCATGACTGCGGGTTTGTGTGGTGGTGGGGGGTGGATGTGGTGAATGTTGTGGTGGTGGTGGATGTTGTGGTGGTGGTGGATATGGTGGTGGTGGTGGATGTGGTGGTGGATGTGGTGGTAGTGGTGGTGGATGTTGTGGTGGTGGTGGATATGGTGGTGGATGTGGTGGTCATCAGAGCATATAAAAGCCGGTCTGATAGCGACCATCACCTTGAAGGAACTGTCTCCACAAACTGTCTCTGTGGCTGTCTGGCTTCTTCTCTGGTGGTGTCAGGACTCTCTTAATCTGTGTTAGTTTATTAAGACTCTCTCTCTCGTTACCCGGAATCCTTGGAAAGTTTAATCAGAAATATTAATACAAATACCAACACAGTCATTACCGTTAGGTGGGTGTTATCATCAAGGTAATGCTGCTTTAACCATGGCCAGATAAGACGCAGCCACGTTTGCCGAGATACTAACGTGAAATTATTATTCTATTATCATCGTCGTTTATTATTATTATCATCGTTATTTTCATTATTATATTATTATTATTATGTGAACAGTGTTACCAGCTTATCACTACTAATCACTGATACAACACCGTCTTCATTCTTTGTTGATATCACTAATGAGTTTTCCTAAGTGAGTGATATCAACTTATCAACCAATATTCCATCTCCGTTATCAGTGAATCAATATGGCGAAATATAATAACCGCTATCTCGTATCAACACTAAATATTTTATCATCGATTATAACATTAACATATTCCGTAATCTGTTTCAGTGTTAAATGTTGTTAAAAGCATCGACTCCCCCCCGTGTTACTCACCTAATGTGGGTTAAAAAAAGAGGCCACGGCTTAATGACGACACTCCATTACTACCGACTCTCCTCTCACCTGTGTTGCCTCCACACATACACACGCACCTCACCTGCTCACCTGTGTTCTAATTAGCCACTCCCGACTATTACATCGCTTTTGTATATGTTATTGACTGACTGACTGACTGACTGTACTGACTGACTGACTGACTGACCTTACAGAATGACTGACTTGCTGAACTCACTGACTGGCTAACCTTACTGACTAACTGATTGACTGGTTGATCTTACTAACTGAATGACCTTACCGACTGACTTGTTGAACTCACTGACTGACCTGGCTCTCCTGACTGACTGACTGACTGACTGAGAGGGACAGCCACACAAGTCACCTGCGTCAGACTGAAGGTGGGTTACACAAAGCGTCGATGCGTCACAGGGGAAAAGGTTTCAAGGCCCCACTGTGTTATAATGAGGAGGAGGGAGGGGGGAGGGGGGGGGGGGACCTTTTGGCGTCTTGGTGATGAAAGGAAAGTAAAAAGTTCGCTGACTCACCATTAAATATTTGAAAAGCCTTGATGTCTTTGCCTACACCCGGGCGAAGTCATTAACGTTTGATTGGTTGATTATGAGTTGATCGAGTGAGTGATTGATTAATTGGTTGGTTGGTTGATTGATTGGTTGGTTGATTGATTGATTGAGATGATTGATTGAGTGATTGTGGTAATTACATCTCTGGTGACACAACAGCTTAGGTCATATGCCGTCGATATTAATGTTTGATATAAGATAGACAAGGTACAAGTACACTTTATACAGTGAAAACTCTATTTAGCGGACTATATTGGGAGGAAAATCCGTTATATCGAGGGTTTGTTAGATGTGAAATCTCCATCTAGCGAACATAGAGATGAAAGTCCGTTATATGGAGGTTTCACAGAACAAGTCTTCCATATAATGTGATAGTCTTCAAGATATGAAACACCTATCACAACCCCCCCCCCACACACACAAGGGTACTTACATAAATCAGGTTCTCATGGTAGCGTTTCTTGAGGTTCTCGATGAAGACCTGCTCGTTTAGGTAGTCCTCCAGCAGGATGGCGTCCGGCACCCCGAACTTCTCTCGTTCATCCAGCACGCTCTCCATCCTCTCCAGCGCCGGCTTCTTGCTCCTGTAGGAAGAGAAAAAAAAATTATACATTTTTCTGCTACAGGTATATTAACATCTGTTCACCTGAAGATTAGCCCCAGTTTATTTCATCTCATCATCAATCCTTAATCGAAAACACAAAAAAATAAAACAATATCAATTATCTATTAAAGGGTAACCGTGAATTAGTCAGTGGCTTCAAGTGCGAAATACACCCCTCAGTCAGGTCAGGAAAGGCGGAGAGTTGTCTAGATACAGAACCTAAAATTTATCATCAGTTGTAAAGTTATAAGTATATACATAAACGGCTTACCCTTCATAAACAAATACAGAAAAGTGGTGGGTGTGGTGTGTGTGTGTGTGTGTGTGTGTGTGTGTGTGTGTGTGTCCCGTCCTGTTTATCGCCACTCGCCACAGATCGACTACAGTCAATGATCCGCGGTCAATAACCCATCAATTATCTCTTAATGCTAATGTAATAAGAGGCCGATGGTGGTAATTATTTCCGTGATATTAAGGGAGGAGGAGGGGGGTGACCATAAGTAAAACACAGGTCATAACCAAGTGTCTCCCACACATCCACACCCGAGACCAAATCCACAAGTATCTCACATCCTCCAACCATCCCTCATCCACACGCCTGTCTCACACCATCCACTCACCCATCACAACAAACTGGTGAACCCAAGAACTCTTTTTTTTTCCTATACACTTCCCAGCATCTCACCTTAACCCTAACACACGAGGGATGTTTACTAACTAGTGTATGACGACTGATCAACCAGGCTATTGCTATCTTGCCCACGCTACGTACGAGCTCTAAACAGGACGTGTAAATCATTTGGCGGAAGTAACCAAATTCCCCTTAACACTTTATCCACTATTATTATTACATCTCGTGAATTAAATCGTCTATGATACTTAACCCTAACAAAGGCTATACCATAACACTTAAAAGTTATTGGTATATGTTCCAGAGAAATGCTCTCGTTCTGCAATATATTCCACCAGGTATGACCAGGTAATGAGCAGCAACAACCCCCTTACCATGAGAGTATGACACACCCCCTCTCTCTCTCTCGTCCTCGACACCCAGGTATAAAAAAATTTGATAAAAGAAATAATAAGACGAGGAAACGAGTGGTGATTCATTGGGGGTGGTGGGAGGAGGGGGTGAGGGAGGGAGTTATGATGAGGAGGACGAGGATGGGGAGGAGAGGAAGAAGGGGGAGGAGAAAGAGCAAGAGGGAGGGAGGGAGGGGGAAGGAAGGGGTAGGAAGAAGAGGAGTTGAGGAGAGGGAGGCCACTGGCGCCAGCTCAGGGAGAGATTCTCACTAGACAAGTTCCCCCCTTAACTGATAAAACAACAACCCGACACCAAGCTACGTATATCAAAACTAATTTAATATAATTTACATAAAAATAAATTAAATATAAATAAAAACACGTAAAAAAAATGATAAAATATTACAAAAACACAAACACAATCATACTTAATAAAACAAATAGAATAATACTTTAGAAATACAACACGATAAAAAAAACAAAAATAAAAAAAACACAAGACAAACATGACACAGGAAGATAATTTGAGATATATTACAACAATAAACACGACCTACATTATATTTACGACAGCCACAAACACATTTACCCAACGTTGGAGAAAGACGTAACAAACCCAGGCGTGCTGTCACTTGTTACATGACAAATGAGAATTAATTCAGCCTCAACTAGCACTCGGTTGGTAGCTGGTAGTTAACAGGAGTGGAGTAATTAGTAGTAATTAAATAGAAGGTGTCATTAATGGCAACAACACTGGCCACGTCACCACACACACACACACACACACTTACCGCAGTGACGCAACTCAGCTAGAAAAGGGGACAACCACACAATATAATAGAGCTCTCTCTCTCTCTCTCTCTCTCTCCCTCTATTCTCTCCTCTCTCTTTCTCTCCACTTCTCTTCTCTCTCCTCCGTTCATCACATTGTCTGTCTATAATTCTGTATGTCTGCCTCTCTCCCATTACTGTGTGCAAGGAGAGAGAGAGAGAGAGAGAGAGAGAGAGAGAGAGAGAGAGAGAATTATCAACCTTCATTATCCAAAGTATTCGTTCCTTTTATTTCCTCAGGGACAACCAGAATGGGTGTCAGGGCGGAGGGGGGTCAGTCTGCCTAAGGAGGAGCTACTCACTTCCCTCTTCACCACACCACGTCCTCACACCACCAGTCGTTACAACACATCACAACACTCGGTATAATAAGTCACGCACAACCTACAAACCAGCCACGTTGATATAAAACACACACGTACACACACACACACGTACACACACAAGGACATTTTGGTTCCACTTCTCGGATTTCAAGGACCAGTATTATGATGACTTTAAAAGACTTACGTATTTCTTTCACTACTGTAACTTAGGATTCAGTTCTGTATCTTAAGGGAGTCTAAGTAATTTCATAGCACAATTATTTTTTCTATGACTATTTTTCTATTTGTCTATTATTTCAACGCAGAATTCTAAGATAATCTATATTTTTTTTAGGTTTTGTTTCAACGCAGAATACCAAGACATCGAGCCTATTTTGGGGGGGATTAATCTAATATTTCAACGCATTATTCTAAAAACAATTGAAAGAATATAGATATTTTCCTATTATTTCTCTATCTTCTGTTCCAACACTGAGCATCTTAAAGACTTCAAAAGACAATTGGACTTTTTTTTCAATCACAGCCTTTCAATTACAAATGAATACACCTTTTTTTTCTTCTTTCGTTTCTCTTTTGTTTCTGAAGACAACAAAAGAGGCTGGAACTTTATTAATTGATTCACCTTTTCATTCACTAATTATATAAAGATTTCAGAATGTTTTATATTAATTCTTTCAAGAGTAACTTATGATTTCAGAAATAAATTTGAAAATATCACTATATTTGAAGACCAGACCAGACCTGAACTAACATAACTTAAACTGACCCAACCTAACTCAACCCAATTCAACCAAACCCAACCTAACTCAACCCAATTCAACCAAACCCAACCTAACTCAACCCAATTCAACCAAACCCAACCTAACTCAACCCAATTCAACCAAACCCAACCCAATTCAACCAAACCCAACCTAACTCAACCCAATTCAACCAAACCCAACCTAACTCAACCCAATTCAACCAAACCCAACCTAACTCAACCCAATTCAACCAAACCCAACCTAACTCAACCCAATTCAACCCAAACGTCAACGACCGAAACAACAGCACTACTGACCATCTTTATTAAATACAATTAGGCACTTAAAGGCTAAACAATTACGATATAGTCCAATTATCACTCCTGACCTTCATCACAGGTAAATAGTTAATGACATATATAAGAATAGAACTAATTGTAATAAGCTAATTACCTATTAAGCTTACCCGCACCGCAGCTTATTTCATCTGGTGATTAAACGCCACCGCGCTATCTGGGTTGGGGTTGGGATGGGGTTGGGATGGGGTGGGGTTGGGATGGGGGTGGGGTTGGGATGGGGTTGGGATGGGTTGGGATGGGTTTGGGATGGGGTTGGGATGGGTTTGGGATGGGGTTGGGTTTGATAAAAAATAAAATAAACAAGTATAGAACGAAGCCCCGAGTCATTATTTCCAACACAATTACCTGCAGTTTCTCTCAACCCAATTACCAGTAAACTATTTCAATAACATGCAGTGAGAGGGGAGGGGAAGAGAGAAGGAGAAGAGGAAGGGGGGAGGGAGAGGGGAGGGGAAGAGGAGGGGGGTCGAAGTAGGCCGCGCATGGTGTAGTGGTGGTGGTGGTTAGGTAGGGGGTGACGCAACAAACAAGACTCCAGCGTTGGGAAACTTTTTTTTTTTAGTTTAACAAATTTATTGACAAAGCTTGGAGTACAGTTTACTTATTTTGAGTAATTCAGTCAGGTCTTGACACTGAGGGTGGTATCACTTCTCACTGCCACGCAGGACAGAGGTTCATACACAAAGACATGTGGGTGATGTCACTGTTCACTGCCATGCAGGACAGAGGTTCGTACACAAAGAAATACATCATATTCACCGACAGTATATATGAATCTGACCTATATATTAGGAAACTAGTCATGGAGGCGAGGTGGTGGTGAAAGCTTGTATGTGTAGGTCTAAATAACTTGGTATATGCCTGAGGGAGATGATGCTGAGGAAGGGGGGGGGGGATTAGGAGGAGGTGGTAGAGAAGAGACAATTTTATTTTATTTATTTATTTTTTTTATTGGGCACCCCCCTACATCCTTGTGTAAGGTGAAGCGCAGAAGCGTTTACAGCGCCCAACAGGGAAGCATGCTAAGTTCATGCTTGCCTTTATGTCTCATGAGTTAAAGAGCGTAGAAGCCTAAAGAGTCAAGGGCGTAGAAGCCTGAAGAGTCAGTGGTTTATGTCATCAAGTTATTGGAAGCTCCAACAACTCCCTGAATACGAATTCGCAACTTTCGACTTACACTAGGTACCTACTTTACTGCTAGGTGAACAGGGACTAATGGGGGCTAGGAAGTAAGTCCAAACAACTTCCACCGGCCCGGGAATCGAACCCGTGACATCTCGCTTGCGAGGCAAGAACGGTACCGCTTCTACCACCGGTCCCTATAGAAGAGACAATGAGAAGGAGGAGGAAGGGAAAGATGAGATAGAAAACCTAGGAGGAGTTATATCAAGGGTTCAAAGCTGTGTGTGTGTGGCCAACATAAACAGAACAAATTCTCTTGTATATGTTGCACATGTTTAAAGTTCACGAGTTTACAGCTGGCATCACACTGACTTTTAGGCCAACAGACACACTATACAGTACACGTCTTCTTTAAGCTCAAAACACACCATGGGGAGGAAGAGGAGGAGAGGGGGGGTAAGAGGAAGAGAGGGGGTAAGAGAAGGGAGGGGTAAGAGTAGGGAGGAAGAAGAGAGGGGGGAGGAGGAGGAGGAGGAGGAGGATAAGGAGAAAGAGGAGGAGGAGTAAGAGGGAGCAAGA